CGATTTTTGGGCGGCCGATTCAAACTGATAACGCGACGGCTGTGGGATCGCGCCCCTCAGTCACTAGTCTTCTGGTTGAAATCGATATCTCTAAATCTCACCCGGATTCGGTGTGGTTGGGTCCGGAGAGGTGTGGGTATGTTCAAAAGGTGGTGTTTGAAGATGTTCCAAGATTTTGTCAGCATTGTAAGGTTGTTGGTCACAAAAAATCGGAATGCTCTAAATTATTTCCTCAGTTAAGAACACCTGTGAATTCGGTTCTCCCACCGGTGGATGCCGGGTTAAATCAAATTGTTAATCCTCCTGAATCTGTATTATCTCCAACCCCGAATCTTCTCTCTAATCCTCTTGATGTTGCAAATACGGGTATTGGGGAGGTTTGTATAAGCCCTGGTGTTGGTTATGCTGTGGAGGTTGCGCCTCTACCTGTTATTGTTCCGTCCACTGATGCCGTCATTTCCCCTGTTTTGTTGGATGTGCCTATCGGGTTGGGGGTTGATGCCTTTCTTGATAATGGTGGTGGTGTTGTTTCGATCCCTGGGTGTGCTCCGGTTGGGCCTATTGTATCGTCTGGTGATTCAGTTTTACCTGTTGTTGATGATGATAATATTGCTGTGAATGTGCCAGTGGAGATTTTAAGTGAAGCTTCAAAGAGCTCTAATCAATTTGTCAATGTTCCGGTTAATGCGGCGGAAACGATCAATCTGGTGAATTCTTTGAATTCTGGTTTTGATAGGTTGGATCAAAGGGATTGGTTGCATGGATCTTCTGATGGAGATTTTGAATCTGAGCTGTCGGATTTTGGTTTCATGTCATCGGATTTTTGCGGGGGCTTTGACCCGGGGAATGGTTTTTCTTTGGTTCGTGTTAATGTAGGTCGTTCGAATGTTTCTCATGGCAGGGGCCGTGGGAGGGCCCGTCGAAGACGTTGATGACTTGTTGTTTTGTGTTACAATTGCTGTGTTTTTTCGGATAATGCCTTACTATGTCCTCGTCGTTCTTTTTCCGATTTGTCCTGGGGCTATGATGTGGCCGGGGCTCGTGCCATCATCTTTTTGCTGGTGGCAACCTTTGATGCTTTTCGTAGTTGGTCGAATACTGGACGCTTTTATCACCTTACTGGATGGCCCGTGCGAACTGTTGGGGCACTGGAAGTCTCGGCCAAATACTGAGCCCAACTATCAATGTATTTTGTCTTTTTATTTTCTAATTTGCAATCTTTTGTTGTAACTTGTAACCTTTCCTTTTATTAATAAATTTGTTTTTGTTTAAAAAAAAATACAAAATAACAGTTTGAACCATTTATCCCAACTTCATGCATACACGATCATGCTAATCGACAGCGTAAGTTCAATCAAGTAAAAATACAAAAACAAATATATAATTTCTACTGTCCAGACAAAGCAACCAGTATTCTAATTTCAAGATATGTGTCATCCATCTTTACTCTGGACGGATAAATTTTAAAATCAAAGGCCTCACATTATAAATCTTTGATCCGGGCAATATGAGTTTCAAAATTGAAGGCCCTACACCTTTGACTTTTGATTCGGGTAAGATGATTTCTATTTCGAAGACTCCACGCTGTCGTACCTTTGATCCATAGAAACCACGGAACGTGCCGATCACCTCTCAAGGGGAGAGGATCCTAGTAGGCTGCCGAAATAAGGTCAGTAGGGTGTCGAAATCGCTCCAGGAGACTACTAAATTTCATAAAAATTGAAGAGTAATTAATTTTGAACTTAAATTGCTTAATTCAATAAGTTAATTGAAATTCGAGAATAGTTAATTGGAATTAAATGTCAATTAATTAATCAATTCAATTATGTATCAGCTTGAAATTAATTCATTAAAATAATAAATTAATTAAATTTAATTGAGTAATTAATTGAAAATTACTATTAATTAATTAATTGAAATGATTACTTAATTAAAATTAATTAATTAAAATAAATTAATAATTGAAAATTGAGAGTGATTTTAATTAGTTGAAATTTCAAATATAAATTAATTGATTTATTAAATTGGAAATAATATCAGTTAACAAATCAATTAATTTAAAAATAATTAAAATTAAATTTCTTTTAATTAATTAATCAATTAATTTCAAATTAAAAATAATTTCAAATTAAATATGAGCTCATTTAATAGTTAATTAATCTATTTAAAAAATAAAATTAATTAATCAATCAATGAAAAAAAACTCAAAATTAAAAATGGAATAATTAAATTACATTGTAGCAAAAATGTAGAGAGAGGCACTGTCGTGAAAGTATGTATTTTGATTTTTTTTTTTTTTTTTTTTTTTAAAAAGGAAAAAAAAAAATGAAAAAGAAAAGATAATGGGGCTTAGCTTATAGGGTTAGATTGTAAGACTCGCCTTTAAGATACTTATAAGCACAAAAGTCGTCAGACCTATCAAAATAGTCAGACATCTTCCAAAGAAAGTTGTAAGATCTATCATTTGATAAACTTCTACAAGAAGTAATGAACCTACAAATGAAATTTCAAGACTACTTCTAATAGAAGAAGTAAGATCAAACTTCTAAATTTACGAGCTACTTTAAATAAAAGCTGCAAGCTCTGTTTTAAAATTAAACCAAAACATTCGAGTTAGTTTCAATGAAAGCCATAAGTCCCACCTCTAAAACAATCAGGCTACTTCCAACGGAAACCATAAGCCTAGAACCAATTCAATTAACCAGGTAACTTCTAATTGAAGTTATAAATCCCCAAAATAATAATAATAATAATAATAATAATAAAAGTTATAAATCCCCAAAATTAAATAAACTATTGGACATTCTAATAGAAGTAAACATCAAACCACCATAAATTATCAAACTATATTTAACCATCTCAATTTACTCGAGGTCACTGAGAAGAGGCAACTCATGTCTACTAATCAGATTTCATGGGCATTACGATCAGCGATCGCTAATGTTGGTAAACTAAAACCTACGCCATACCCGAGATGACGGAACCATAGGATTTTGATCGGATTTATCTCTATTTCACCACAATTGAGACAAACAACTAAAATTATTCATCCTGAATCAAGAGTTCTCTCATATGCAGTAGGATGAGTAATTAACTATGACGGTTTGCGCTCATAGGAAGTAAGAATTCAAATCTAACTAAATTCTGATACTACTCTTAGAAGAAATTTGATTAACTATAATATGCCTTAAAAAGAATGGAATCCTAAATCTTCAAAATGGGATACATGCCAACGCGAACATAAACTACCGGTCATTGTTGCATAAGGGACATACCACATCTCCTCTTTCCCTTTTTCACTTGTTAGACTTTTATTAGAGATTACCTAAAGTAAAAACTTTAAATGGCTTGAAAGTGCATAAATATACTGCATGCATATGATGAGTAGTAATGTAAATCAGTTTGTCCCCTGATGTTGAGTACCCACCCATATACACCCACAAGGTCATGGACATACCCATACCCACCCATGCCCATTGGGTATGGGTGGGTACATGGGTGGGTGTGGGTATGGGCACCCAATGCAGGGCTCTGCTAGTCACTCCCAAATCCTTTATAGCAAATTACTCGCTTAACTTTTTTTTTTTTTGGAGTTCTTTGACCTCACTCCAACAACTAAGGTTTCATTTGGGACGACTTTTTTATTGCTTCTTAAAATAACTTTTTAATACAAAAAACTTAGATTTTTATATCAAAAAGTTGCTTTAAGAAGCAGTAATAAAACCGTCCCAAACGAAGCCTAAAAATTCTATCAGTACCATTAATTGTTTTTGGAGCATTTGCTGCAGCTATAGCTCGTATCGGCGGGACTCTATCTTCATTCCTTTTGTTTGTCTGATAAAATATCTGCTTAAAATTGACATTTTTCTGCTCTTTTTGGGGGTTATATCCAGGTAAATCTAGTGGCCTGAACACCTTTGGTCATATGTGGTGCAATGGTAAGCATTATTTTTTTGGCTATTTGGGATTTTTGTTCATGCAAGTAATGACAAAATAGAAACATTTTCATCATGTGTTGTTCATTCTTCTATTTCTTTTCAGGATTAATATGTGCAACAGTTCTCTTTTTTTGGACTCTAATTCGGGGTGATTTAGAGTTGATCATCAATTTCCCTTATTTATTTTCTACAGGGTTTCAGGTAGGCTTCTCTCTCGCAACTTTATGAGTTTGGGGTAATTGAGTAAAGGGTTGGGATTGACGGGCACTAGAGGCCGTGTTTTAGTGTTCTACGCTATGCTTCTTTTCATATTCACGATATTTTATTTTTGTCTTATTTGTTGAATTGATTTGCATGTCTAGCACTCATTTGTACTCGAAACCTTTTTGACTGTCTAAGGTTGTGATGTGTAACAACCTAAACTCTTAACTATCAAGATATTGTCTGTTTTAGCCTAAAGGCCTCACGATTTTGTCCTGTTAGTATAACTTCCCAATAAGTTATCCATCCCAGAATTGCTCGCTTAACTGCAAAATCTCTTAATGAAATTCCAACCATTACACCAAAAGACTCCTCAATGTTTAAGAGTTTAGCTTTTTTATTTAAAGGATTTCAAATTGTGTCATAAATTTCTTTTGAGATATTGAAATTCCATCCACTTCCCTCATGTTCGTCAATTCATCAAATCTACCTATGTTTTGCTTCTTTTCTGTTGTTCATATCAGTTCTCCTATTTGATTACACCCTTTTATTGCAATGCTCTTGAAGACCCTTCATGTTGAAAATCATCCACACTAGTCTACCATCAAATGTTGTGAATAGGTTCCCAACCTAATTTATATCACCTAGAGCAAACAAGCAGTAGAAAATAAAGCACATACAAACACATTAAAGTTGTTTAATATTTGCCCAATTGATGATTACTTTCTATGTATGTTATTGTAGCTTTCACTATGATGATGATGATCCTTTATGAAAGAAATTAATAGCCTTATACTCTCTGCATTTTTTAGTTTCTCTTGATATTTACTCCATAATATTTGCACTTGAATGCTGTTAGAGTAGAACTTAGCCATTTTTCTTCTTTTAGACTATATTATTGCATATAAGAAGAATAATTCACATAAAGTGGATGCAAGATTCGAATTTCGAATATGATTATGATTGTTCAAGAAGATTTTCAAGGTACAAGTTAAGAATATATCTTCCAGTTGATTGAACATCTATCCTTCTCTCTCTTGGTTCATATTTTCCCTTGCGCAGTTGGTACCGATGGATAACAGCTGAAACAGTGTATGCTTGCCCTTCTATGGTCAGACTTTCCCCACAGTGAATATTCTGCACTTAGGAGAGAAGCAAGTGATAAATTAGAGTAACTTGTAAGAAAAAATGTAATGATGCAATATTGGTAAATGGTGATTCAAAATGTCAATTTTAAATTAAGGAATTGTGCATGATATATTTTGCACATCACTGATTAAATATTTTAAAAATACCCACCGTTGCTTAGTTTGGTTCGTGGGCGAGTACGGTTGGGAATCCCCCAACCCGTGTTCGATTCCGTTCGAGCGGCAGTGCCTCTTAAGTGGGGCCCAATCAAGTGCGGGCCAGGAGGTTTCTAGGATGGGTGTCTCTTTTAGGTCAACTGAGGATTAGTCAGGCGCCAAGCACCCTTTCGGGGGTGGTAGCGGATGGATACCCGGTTCCCAAAAAAAAATCTTAAAAATTTGTCATAAAGTAGAAAATTGATTCAACCTGAACATTTGTTGCATATTCCTCTCTTCATCTTAGTGCCTAGTTGTGGTTGGTAGGAAAAAAAGAGCTCTTCACTCTACAGCAAGCTTAGAAGCAAAGCAACATCAACATTTTTGACATAGAGAGAAAATGTCAACACTAATAAAACTATTATTCCATTTGTTTATGACATTAAGGCGATTGTTCACTCTTTGAAATGATCTTTGCATCGATAGAAAACTACAGTTAACTAAGCTTACTTCACATTTTCATAAGTAATTCTCCCATAAAGCAGTAAGTCCACTTAAGAACTAGTTGATTATGTCTTCTCATAGCTGAAACATCTACATGTTCATTAAGATTTTTAACATTTTAATCTCACCATATACAGATATGATTATAGAAAATCCTATAACCCAAAATCCATCTTCAAAATATGGGCTTTTTATTACGCTACCCCCCTGCATTCCCCATTGATTCCAAGGTCACATCAAACTAATAACCTTATTAGTAAGAACGAAGATAGGAAAAACAGAGATTCTGCAATCAATACCGAGGGCAAGCATCGGACACCGAGGTTTCTAGGCGGCGGCGTTATCTCGACCACCTTAAAAGGGTGATGATGGTGGTCTCGATCCCTCTCTTTTTTTCTGCAACAAACCTGAAGGAGGCCTCGCATCTGCACCACGATTCAATCCAAAAACAACAATTATACGCTAACCACAGAATCCTGCAAACTCTAATGGAGGAAACTAAGCAGAATCCAACCTAACTATTTAGGGCTTTGCTGCGTACCTTATGAGTAGTCGCTGCCGTGGAAGCAGATGCCATTTTGATCCTCTTGGCGAGCTGATTGGAAACGATGGAAATCGTTTTTATCACAATTGTTGTGAATTTAAAGGCCGAAACTTGTTTGAGGCAGAAGACGAGGGCATCCCGGCGATCGCAGATTCGCAGGAGATATTTTAGCCGTGATAAATAAATTTTACACGCCTGAAAAATTCACTATTAATAATTCTGATATAAGCTATAGATTTCTCAATGCCAAAGAAAGAAGAATAATACAAAAACTTCTTGAAGGGATGTAAACAATGAAGATCTTTTCAACCATTGGGTAAGTAACTAAGTATGTCATGAGATTATTGCTTTTTTTTTAAATCATATATTACTTTACATTAAACTAATTTTAATATAAAATAAATAATATTTAAATTCATCCTAACATAATTTATGAGTAATTTTAATATGAAATTTTTTGACAAAGGAGTTGTAGTCTATCAATGGAAATTTTATTTGGTCTGGTGACCGGATGTAGCTCTACGTTCGGTCATCATTGAGATCGCGCCACGTAGCAGGCACAAAACTGCGGACCCGACCCTGCGAATAGTGGGTATGTCGCTCGTGCGTATTTTAAATCCATGACAACCCAATATTGCTAGGTATTAGTCTTCACATAGCGGTATTTCTCGTTATTGCCAAACAATACCTAGCATTATCGAGCAATACCGAGCAAATACCAAGTAATACCTAGCAATATGCGAACATAATAATCCCGGGTTCCAATCCGGGTCAAGTCGTCACGCCGCGCGGTAAAGAATGAGAGCACGTGGTGACATGTTATTGGCGGCAGAACGTAGAGCTACGTCAGGTCAGAGGACATAATAATTAGGGTAATTTTAATATGATTTTTTTTTACTTATCAATTGCCCACAACATTCCATCATTCTTGTCATCTGTCCTCATTATTGAAGTTTATAATACATTCATTACTTGAAATTTAAATAAAAAATATTCACATGCATTTATTTTATATTCATCCAAACCCCTCTAAAATATTTCTTTTGCACCGCATTTCTTTTTTAACCAATCAAATAACCTCATAATAAAACAATTTAAGCAACATCAATCTTGTGTAATAGTGCACAAGTCTAATCGAACTCGAGCCACTCATAACATGAACTTGAGCTTAAGCTTGATTAATTAATCAAATTTGAGCTAAATCTTAATTTTACGAGTTCAATTTGACTCATAAGCCAACTCCTTTATGATAAAAAAGAAAAGTTATTAAATTCCAACCATTATTATAATAATATTATAAAAACAATAATAAATAAATCGTGAATGAGATTTAATTTTTAAATATTTAAATAATTTTATACATAAATTCCTAAGTTCTAATATATTTTAAATATATTTATATAAATATTTTTAAAATAGAATAATGAGATAATGAGTCAAGTTGAAGCTAATCCAAAATTGACTCATTAGCCCATCATAATGGCTCTAAGCTCATTAGCCCATCAAACTAACTCACGAATCATTTATCAAGCCGAATTTGAGCTAGCTCACGAGTCGATTTGACTCAAAACACCTTGAAACTCCACAACTAGCTAAAAGATAGAACGATGTATTAACAATCTAGTGTTTATTTTATAGGCTGAATAAAAAACTAATTCATTTCAATAACATACCTAAGATTTTCTATTTTTTAGCTGATAGGATACATTAACAACATTTCCATTTCTCAAAATTTTTTTTGTTTTCATTTTCTTAAAACAAAACTGTTTTTCATCAAAGAAGCATTATAGTATCATTCCGTCAGCTGACATACTGCTTCTTGAGAAGGTTAGCACAAAATTCCAGGTCGAAATGCTGCTTGGGAGGGTCTCCAATGCAATCAAATATTGCATCTGCGTCTATGAAGTCCTCTTCAGCCGTGTACCTGTCATCAAAACATAACTAATGTGCATCATTGGTTTTCATATCATTAAAAAGCGTATGTAATAGATTATTAATGAGCTCAATATTCAATCTTTAATTCTTGATTAAGTTGAAACTTCTAATTCATATTAAAAAATATAATAGTTAAGAGCATGAGAACATTAGATTTAGATTTTTAATTAAAAAATCAGTTTTTAATTAAAAAAATGTATTAAATTTTTTTTACTAAAAACTATTTTAGAAAATAATAAAAAAAAGCTGTTCCAACAGCTTTCTTATTATTTTCTAAATCAACTTTTTAGTATAAAAATTTTTGTACTAAAAAGTAGTAAAAAAACTATCTCAAACAAGGCCTTAGTCTCAAAACTGATAAATAAGAAATATAATGATGTGAAAATAACAAGCAGTTGATGACTAATTTGAAGAACTCTCATATAATTAAGATGCATGAGATTATCAAATATTAAATTCAGTGCAAATCATAGAGATAAAAGAATGTGCTTGTGTAGAAATATAAAATGATTTATAGAGAACAAGTATATGCTCTACAATTTATAATAGCTAACAAACAATTCAGAAGCCTATGGTATTGCATAATCAATAGAGCAAGGCAGAAATCACTTCCCCCAGATACCCAAAACTAGGAGACTTTATAATAAAATTGAAGAGATGGAGCCTCATTTACAAGAATAGTCATTTGTAGTCGTAAGATAAAAATGAGAATATGAAGATGAATGTAAGGTAAAACCAAAAATGATTTTATATTAGAGAGATGATGGGAGTAACGCCTATTGGAAAAAGATGTTTGAAAACAGATTTAAATGATTTTGGCATCTGCAGTGAAGGAAGAATATGCATGACCAAAATAGGCAGACAGAATTCTTGTAGAAAGTTCAGGAAAAAAAAATGAATGAAACAAAAAATAACATGGCTAAAAATTAACAGAAAAGAAGTACAAAATAGAGAAAATACCGGTAGCCCTTAACAAGAATTAATAAAAAAATATTCATAAAATTGGCCCCACATAGTAAGCTGATAGGAAATACTTGAGTTCACAAGCAACCCTAGCAATAATTAATAAAAACAGCGGGAACAATGTGATAATTTCGATGAAATCAATCCAAAACGATAGATTGTAATAGTGGATTCAAAGAAAAAGCAAACACAAAGCAAGATACAATTGATCCTCAATTCGAGAAGATGATCGTTCTCTCCCAATCTCTAGACGATAAGTTTGGAGCCCAAGACGCCAAAAAAACTTCAAGAGAACAAAAGAAACCAATCAAAGCATAACCCCCCTAACCCTAAAACACCTCATGCTATTTAATACATAAACCTTCTAAATCAAATCTCCCTCGAAAACCCTAGCCGCCCCCTCCTTTCTTATTTTGGATTCAATTTGAATAATACGACCCACTATTGTGGGCGGCAAAGGAAGAGGAGACGGTACTAGCCCGCCTCCTATAGACCAAAACCAGCCCATCGAGGGCCGATTCAGGAGGAACCAGCTTAGCATAAGCATAATGCTAATGACGTCGGGGATGATGTGATGACAATGATACATAAAACAGAAATTCACTAGAAACATCAAAATGCATGCATTTTTCTGTCTTGGAAGAAAATAAGAGTTCAGATACCGCAATTACATTGGTATGCAATTGTTTCATAAGAAGTGATCAAACGTTAGTTCTCAGAAAAAAGATCTGAAAATTTCAGCCTTTATACTTACCCACTCTTCGTAATTATGCATTTCATACCAGCAGATTTTGCTGCTGCAAGACCAATGGCGCTGTCCTCCACCACGACACAACTGAAATTTTAGAAAAAATCATTATCATACACATTAAAATACAGCAAGGCGCACGAACTATTAAAAATCATAGTTTAGCATTCATTCTTTGCACGAATACCACCATATCTAAATAAAGTCTTAGTGTTTGATATCTTATGAATTTTAAATTTAAATATATTAATTCTTTAAATTTAATTCAAATTTAACAAAAAATTAACTTGCATATAAATATATAAATTCAATATAAATTATAATTAATTTATGTTATATTTTTAAATATAATTTATACCTATATAATATTTAATTCTTAATATATTAAATTATTTTATTTAATTATTTAAATATTTCAAAAATTGAACTGGCCAGATACACTCGGTTGACATAGGTAGGCATACTTATCAAATAAAAATATAATGTTAGCTTTGTTCTCCCTACTTTTATTGTTATGATAAAAAATCAATTTAAAGTTAACATCAAGATGTTTCGCATAGATAATGCTTTCAACATAGAAATCATTTAAGAACATTATTTTAGAATAGGGCATCCCTTTTTCAAAATCTTATCGAGTATGTTTCATCGCTTTTATAAATGTTAATATTGAATAGTTTCATTGTGAGAGTTGTAAAATTATAAAATATCTTTTCTTCTCTTTTTTCTAAAAGTGATTATAGATCCTCTTACTCTTATATTATTTTATTCAAAGAGGACCCTCAAAATATACTAGCATTCCTAGAGCTATAGGAATTGTCACTTTTATTGATAATTATACTTATATGACATAGGTATACTCAACAACAACAACAACAACATCAAGCCTTTGTCTCACTACATGGGGTCGGCTACATGAATCCTTTTTTCTATTGTATCCGGTTAAAAGTAAATTCTCATTTAAAACTAATAAAGAAATGTCATTTCTAATATTTTCTAAACAAGCCATTTTAGATCTACCTCTACCTTTCTTAACATATGTTAAATCTAATAAATCTAGTCTCCTAATCGGTCATCGGAAGGCCATTGTTTTATATGACCAAATCATCTAAGGCAACTCTCTCTAATCTTATATGCCACTGGAGCTACTCCAACCTTTTCACGTATATGCTCATTTCGTATCCTGACATAGGTATACTCATCAAATAAAAATCAAATGTCAGCTTTATTCTCTTTAATTTTTATTGTTATTATAAAACATCAATTTAAAGTAAACATCAAGATGTTTCGAATAAATAAAGCCCGTTATTATTTGAATCAAACATTATCTTCTTTCTTTAATAACAGATTTCATTCACCAATTCTACTATCCTAACAACCCCCGACAAAAGGGATGATAGAGAAAATCATCACCTTCTCGAAATCACCATAAATCTTCTTTTACAAAATCAAGTTCCAAAAAGAAATTGAGGAGAAGTAATCATAACCACCACACAACTAATCAATTGAATTCCCTTGAGAGCAATCAATTTCAAAAGTCCTTTAAACTACCTTGTGGAATTCTTTCCTAAAAATAAATTACTCTAAAAATTTTCTCCAAAAATATGTGAGTGCATTGCTTATATCCACATCCACAAATAACAATGAAATAAGCTTTGATCCTAGAGCAATCAAATGAGTCTTTGTAGGGTATTCCTCAACTCAACATTGTTTGTCCTTATGAAAACAACATCAAAATAAATTTGAAAAACCAGAAAGTGGTTTGATCCCTATGGGAAACCAACTTAGTAATATATCCACTAAAGAACTTTACAACTCCACATTCAAAAATACTAAAAACAAACTTGGGATCGAAGATCTATAATACCGAATTTGAGAGGGGGTGTTGAAAGGCCAAAGGGCTTAGCGAGAAGAAAAGAAGCCCGGGATTACAAGTCCAAGTATAAAAAACCTCTCCCACAAATAAATGTACAATAAATGATGGAAGGAAGCCTCCGATTACTTACGTGGCGTCAATTTGCGCATCCAGCAAGCCCTAAAGAGGTGGAGAGCTGATGGGCAATTTTTTTTAGCTACTATATTTAGTAATTTTCGATTATTCTCTATCCAGTTTTATATATAAATACCCTTTGAAAGAATAAATAATACAAGCTTTCCAAGCTACTTCTTTTCTACAAGCTATTTTGTGCTCACTGATTCTAATCGGAGATTAAAATCTGTAATCACTAGCATCTTTGCTTCACTGATCAAGTAAAGAGAATGTGATTGAGGATTCTCCGTGGACGCACGGTTCTCTGAACTCAAACCACATATATTGCGTGCTCTTTTTGGTAGGTTCTTGCAGCTCAGTTTACTGCAACTGGTTAAAGCATATATGTGCAAGAATTTTTCTTTTTGATATTGTCCTGCAGCTGCGTTAATTTACTGTGGCTGAACCTAATATTATAAACAAAGAACAAATAATACTAGTTCACTAATATTACAAATTAAATCTTAGATATGCTGCTCACTGTTTCTGTTTAATTTTCCTTGAATTGGTCTGATCATGTTATCATTCTTGCATCAGAGTTAGCTTGCAAAACAGTTTTATTTGATTATTCACTATTTTCTATAAAACAGTTCACTTCTTGTGCTATATAGATGGTGTATTTTTAAACAGTCGTAATAAGATGAGAAGGGTGACTTCCTAGTTCAGCATTCCGAAGAAATATTCAAGGGTAAGGCCAAAGTTAAGCACAGCTCGAATGCTGTCGACCCAGAAATTAAATAAGTATTAAAATAATACTAATAGCCAGAAATATATAATTAACTGAAAATGAAACACAAAACTATTATTTTCATAGCTTCCACTAATCTTAGGAAGTGATAGAGGCCAAAAAAAAATTACCTTGATGGCTCAATGCCAAAAGTATTGGCTGCTAACAAATAAATAGCCTGTTAATTAAAAGGAAAAAACTGTTAGCTACTATTACTTCAAATACTATAAGAAATAAAGCACTGTAAATCTTCAAAACCTATATTAAAGGGCAATTAAAACAGACTGCTACAATAACAACAATTCAAAATAATAAGACGATGCACTTGTTTGAAGTATCAATTGGGGTAAGGGACCACAGGTCCTTAAGATATATGGAATAATTAGGAGGATAAAAAAGTAAATGGGAGTTGGGAACTCACACATGCAATTTTTTTCTTTCTTTTCTTTTTTTAGCTTGTACCATGATGCAGAAATTGTTATACATCTCAAGCAACAAAATTCATTTATGCAAGACAGTTCACCGGATCTAAAATTAGAGAATTCTTACGGCAGTGCCAAATAAACATTGTGCATAGCTATTTACAACATTTAATAACTTTTGGTTTAATATACACATTTTGTAATCCTCATGAATCAGGAATCTAAAATTATATGAAATTTATTAAAAATTTTAAAACAGATGAGAAGAAGACCATATAATTTTCCAACAAAATAACAATATAAGATGACAGCAAAAAATGACGATGCATTTCTAGTCTTTAGCTGTTAACATACAAACGCAAGACAAGCAAGCCAAATTAAAAAGTTCAGTTAGTTTATGCCCGCTCGGATTCCTACTCACATTTTCTTTATTAAATTTATTGGGATTTCTGAATAATCATTCCTTGATATATATAGTTTAATTGAAATTCAGTGTTTAAGTTGAAAAATTACGCTCATTTGGTTGGGTTTTCTACCAGCTTTCGGAAGGCTGACTCAAAGCAGGTGAACCCTGTTCAAAAAAAAAAACTGAGCTGCATTTCTGATAGTAAAAAAGTGCAGAAATCACCAAAATAGTGCTAAAATTTGTGATTTCAACACGAACAAAGTAGGAATTTGCAGAAATTCCTTAGCAAATTAATAGGGAAACTAAATAATATGTGAAAAAGTAGAAGAAAACAAGTAAGATACAATAGATCTTAAATTTGAGAGGAAGATTCAGCTCTCCCAAATCTCTAGCCGGCGGCTAGAGTCAAAGCTAACCTCAAGAACTCCTAAATTCAGCAAAGCATCAACATAACCCTAATCCTAGCAAATAATACAAAGCCAAAAGTCCAAACAGCCCTTCAAATTCAAATATCCCGCTCATCCGCCTCTCTCTCTTTTTTAGATGAACTTATGTGACTCCAAAGCCTCAACCATAATTGAGCCATTAGTGGTTGAAGTTTTGAAAGAACCACTGAAATAGTAATTAGACTAATTTGTAATGACCTGAACTAATATCATAAGATTGGCGTGTTCAAAATTCTACATTTCTAAATTTTCTGTTAATGTTATGTCTTAATTTTTGTTTGAAATTTGTCCTAAGGGGTGCTATGTGTGAAAATTTTAGTGTCTATGAAAACTACTTGGGAGTGTTGCGTTGTTACATTCTAAGCATTGTGGCGTTGAGCTCTCTATATTATGGGTAGAATAAGAGGTTTTTGAGGAGCATTGAGATGCTTAGTTCTGGGTGTTGCAATGTTGGCTTCTCTGTGCTAGGGTGATGTGGCGCTGGGTTCTGAGCGTTGTGGCGTTGGTTCTCTGTATTTTGGAAAGGGTTTGGGATTTTCTGGGAGCACGGTAGAGTTGGGCCTTCATGAACCACAACATTGCATTCTGAATTTTTATAAAGATCGAATCTCACTAAAAGTTTCACTATCTCAATTCATTTCCCACTGTTGGCGTTGAAAGAAAGAGTTTGATTCAGGGTCTTCGGATTGTTTTCATCCATTGGGCCGGTTGTGAAAGTTGGTTAAATCGAGGAAAATTGCATTTACCCATGGTTTAAAAAAATATTCGAGCCACACAATGAGTGCCTCGAGGCTTAAGCCTCACTGGTGCAAGTGAGGTTTAAGCCTCACTAGTGAAAGTGAGGCTTACGCCTCTTTTAAATGAGGCGTACAACTCGATGGGTTTTGAGCCAGCGCCTCATTTTAGTATAATTTTATAATTTTCATTATATATTATATTTATTTATATATATATATATAACTGCTCACACTACATAATCATTTATATATATATATAATTATATTATACAAAGAGAATGAACCAATTAGTTATATGATGAATGAACAAAGGTTGAATGGTTATGTTATGTTTAACAAAAATTTGAAAGATAATTATAAAGATGATGAGATAAATCCTTTGGTTGTTGATGATATGTTATCTGATGATGAATGGATAATAATAAAATATAATGAAAGATTTAAAGTTAAATATTGAGGAATGCCTTTGATGATGAGGAAAATGAAGATATCAATACTAATATTAAAATGACTAAAGAATTGATAATAACATCTTCTTCATAGACCTTTTAAAGAAAGTAGCAAAGTATAATGGCTTATTTTGTTGTTATATTTTATATTACATCAAATCTAATGTTAACTGATAACTAAGGAGTTTAAAAAATATTGTAATTGAATAAGATTTTGAAGATAATAATGAGATATCATTCGATGATGATTATAACTACAACACATGAAGGCTATTATAAAGAATATAAAAGTAAAGATGAGGCTGCCATGGATCATGATCCTAATGGTGTATTTCAGTTTTAAATGCGTGTTACTTTAAATCTCGTTTCAACTTTTATTTTATAATAACATTTAATATTGAGATTTGTAGCTTATATCTTTATGATGATGAATCTATGTTTTATTATATTTTTTCCATTTTTATGTTTTTAAATAATATGCATGGGAGCCAGCTTCTCTTTACTTATACCTAACCATGTGCATCCTTACCTATCCTAATTATTATACAAAATTTAATCATGTATTTTCAATTGGGGAATATATCCCCGGTATTGCAATATAATTAAGCCAGACAATAATCCAACCATAAAACATAAGCCAATGGTAGCAGGAAAATCCACGGCACATAAATATCTGAATCACCATTTATCATTAAATTTTGAACCATCATCATTTTGACAAGGAAACCAACAATATCCCTCCCATACAAAAGTATTTTCCACATGAGACATTATCCACTCATAATCAACTGTCAAAATGACAAAAACATCATTGACAAACGTCAGTATGCAACCACTCAAAAATCTTGCCAAAACTCATTTTTGACACATAATCTCAAGTTAGACCTCATTGGTTAGTTCAAGCACAATTTTCACAAATGAATTAACCCCATGAGTTAGAGCCAACCAAAAGTAATTTCAATAAATAGTTCCTTGTGATTCCAAGTTTAAGATTTGTTTTAATTTAATAAACGTCTCAGTTCATTATAACTACCTTGTAGCTACTTAATGCAAGTCAACCAACCATCTTTGAACACAACCTTATTTGCCCTCATTGCAATGTTCTAGGAAATTCATGACTTATTTACCAATGTAGTGTTCATACACTCCCATACTTAGCATCATAGGTTTTTAACTTTTACTTTTGATTTGAATGCAGCATTTTTATTTTTGTTTTAAATTTTAAAGTGAAAAATGTTAATCTATATATGTATCATTTAAAGGCAAAAAACAGTTTGAATAAAATTTTGAGTGAAATTAGAAACGACCCAAAGATGCACACCAAAACTGCAAAGGTCATAATGAAGACATAATGAATACTAATTAATTTCGGTTAGGCTAAGAAATTAAAAAAAACCATACATGCATCTGAAATGCAAGAAATTATTCCATGCGGAGTTCGGACGGGAACAACCGTTCGGACATATGAGTATACACAGTATTCAAAATTTTTATACACGTTGTGTACAAATTTGCACATAATGTGTACACTCACATGTCCGGATGGTTGTTCCATCCGGACTCGGCACAGAATAATTTCTCCTGAAATGCAACATGCCACATTTTTGGAGCAAAACACGAGCAAACAAATTTCCTACCGAATCCTACTAATACGACATCTAAAACATAGTTTTTATTTTCAAGAATCCTCTGCTACAGATGTTACAGCCTTAAGCAGATAAATATTGAGGACGGCAAAAAATAATAATATTTCAGAAATACCGGATCAGGCTTTTTTCGAGGAACCACATCTCCAGCAAAGATTTTTATCTTATCTGCTCTCTCAGACCCGAGCAAGAAGGAAACTATGGCTGACACCTGCAGCAAAGATTTAGTTCCAACTGTCATTGGACCATATTTACAAGGAATTGATAGCTATATACATTCAACATATAAAAAAGAAATGATAGTAACGCTACAAGCTTAACTTATTTCTTTAAAAGCTCTTCAGTATAACTACGGTTACTTAGATTTTATCAGTAATGTTTATGATAATTAGAACTAAAATAATTAATTAAATTTCTTGTCATTTTTACACTAAGGATAAACAGTGATTAATTAGGATTTTCATTAAGATCAACTCCTTATTATTTTTAATTATAATAAATAAGACTAGGATAACAATTTAATTAATTAATTAGTCGAATTATATTGGAATAATTATATTGATAAGTGTTTAATTAAGACTTAATTAAGATTATTAAGATTTATTCTAAATTATAAATTTATAATAACCAAACATAAGATAATTCATTAATAATAATTCATAGTATTGAATCATCTAGGCTAACAAAAGATTAATTAAATTTTCAAGTTCAATAATATTTATTATTATTAATTATAATACCTGATATTAGTAATCAAAACGTGATTGACCAAGGAAAACAATAATTAACTATTTGCTAAGGCTAAGAGATTAAAGTTATTTTGTACTCAATTACAATAATTTGACATAGGATAATTCACTAATTAATTAATTACTGATTGTAATTAATAATTACATATATATTATGGTTAATTCAGAATTAATTAGAACATCAATTTAGATCATTATTTAGGGATGACCGAATTAAAATTAAACATTACTTTGAATAAATAAATATAAAAGTAATTATTTATTTATTTATTACTTTAATAGGTTTCAACTAATTATGATAACTTGAAATAATTAGAATTTAAATAATATTAAATAAAGATTATTCATATGTGGAATTAATTATAATAGCTAGACCTAATTATGATAATTACACATATTAATTCTGCTTTCTTGTTTTCATTGTTAAACATATTTTCTATACTAATTTCTTCAAAAAGAAGACACCTAAACTATTGAGACATATTTTTGTTTTAAATGAAAATAAAAACAAGATACAATCAAAACAAAAATAAAACAGATCCAAACATCGCCTAAAATAAACTAAACTTGAAAGCACTAAAATACCCTGCAAGCAGTAGTAATGACATTAGACCATATGTGAATTTTTTAAGTTATTTAAAACTAGAACTGCATATCTAGATAAGCTTAAAAGTTACTACAGGAAAATTAATTAACCAATATTCATATGAAACCTGATAATGCATACCGCCTTCTCGTTTGATGTACTGCAAACAGCAACTTTTACCCCTTTAGCCAAAGCATCATCAATGAGCCTACGACAGTTCAAAATGTGTCTCAGCTAAATAGCTGGAACTGTTAAAATCTAACTATTAGATTACAACTCATTTCTGATGAAAATAAGCAGATAAATGTTATATTCATAGTTACAAACAAAGAATCAGACAAAGCTCCCATTAACATATGATCTTAATTATCTAATGGATGTAATGCCCATTGTTTAAGAGTAATTTGATCATACAACAAAATACCCGGCCGGTCGAGATTATGTTTTTTGCTTAGATATTTGGCTTAAGAATTATACGGTTCAAATTCTGTAACAAGAACTAGCCGCTTTAAACTATTAACTCACTAAATTGCCAAAAAAAAGGATCAGAACTCAATATAATTTGGTTATTTACATATAGGATATATTAATCAGTGAAGCTAATCAGTTTTAGAATTTTGTCAGTTCCACATAAAGACAAACACGGAAACATGAAGTGCCTAGATATGTATTAAATATAAAATTATGATCATACAATGAGACATTTTGATACCTTTATAGACCGCACTCATACAATTGCAATTAAAGGCAGCCACATAAATATTCACCATGTCATAGTGGTACAAGAGGGAAAGAGGGAAAGAGGGAGAGAGAGAGGTGAGATAGAAAGGAGACCTTGAATAGCTCACTATTTGATTCGACCAATAATCTCAACCTAGCCCTAGTTGTTTAACTCATTATTTAATTGATAACTATTTTTAGGAAAATCTCATTTAACTTGAATGTATGAAAGAGAAGAATTTATGTACATGAAAAAGATAACCTCGAAATTTAAATATTGTATTAAAGTTATATGTAGTAGTTTTTATTTTTTTTTAAATATATATTCGATAGAAATGGAGGAAAGAGAGAGGAGCATTAAATATATATTCGATAGAAATGGAGGAAAGAGAGAGGAGCACCAAAATGTTCATAAATAAAAGTTTATGGTTGAATTGTCTCTTTACAGATTAAAAGATTTCATTCTATAAATGAGATGAGAATGCTTAATGTTTCTAGCTGATCGTCCATTCTCGCTTACCGAAGCTCCCAAAGCCAAATCGTAACAAAAATCCTCATAGGAGGGCAAAATCTTTGATTAGAGGTTTACCTAAAAATTCAATATGCCTTAAAATTTTAACCTATAACCACTCAAAAGTATAATAAAACTGTGTGAAATGTTTGGAGCCAACAGGGATATAAGTGAATTTGGAGCAGCAAGTGACGGAAGCAACGGCACAATGCTAAACCATTATAACAAGCAGAAGGCATATGATCAATCAATGGGCATTGATGCAAGGCACTGCGGCAATGAGTGCAGGAAGACGACTCTAGCATTCAAGAATCATTGAGTATAAACACATATTAAGGAAGGCCGACATTAGCACAAGAAGATTGCTTGTTCGATCACACAAGTGAAGCAAAAGATCTAACAGGTACGACATGAATTGATGAGTGCAGAAATGACTCGAACGAGTAAGCCTCTTATACCACTTGATGACATACAGAAGAAGTGGGAGAAAGACAGAGAGAGAGAGATACAAGAGATAGAAGAAGAGGCCTTGTAAAGCTCATCACTTCATTCAATCAATAACATCAACCAACTCCGAAGTATCCCATTTATAATGAAAGGAATAGTGAGGTTCAAACAAATAAAGCAACCAAAAAATAAAGGAATAAACGCTGCTAAAGTAAAATAATGATAATAAAGCAAGAAATAAACCCTAATTAAACAAATTCAAATATATACCCTAAATATAAATATTTAAATAAAAGAGAATTATTTAATGAATTATGTCATCTGCATCAAACATAAATCTGAATTGGACGGCAGTCATCACATATTCTTTGAAATATTGGTAAATACCTGTAATAAAAGAGAAGTTAACCTTACACATCCAAATACCATGAAATCCAAATCATAAATCAGATTATTACACTGAAAAATATTTTAAGTTGTAACTTCCGAAGTCAATTTGGGCATAGCCATCTTTATGATTGCAACTCTTAGAATCTAAGAAACAGCATGAGACATTATTCATTTATTTGATTGCCATTCACTGCTTATCTTACATCCATGCATTGGTAGTTTATCTAAGCAATATTGAACTGTTTGGTTCTCTGCCAGATTAGGGCTAGTCATATCATTTTAGCCATATACCGCCAAATGCTAATTTAATCCAAAAATAAAAAAGTTCATCTGAACTGATTGTATTTTAGTCAACTTCAGCAATTCCATTGATATTTAACTTTACCAAGGCTATAATCATTTTCATAGGATGGCACTATAATTTTAATTATAATCTGGACAACTGAATTGTCGTTTAGATTTAGGCTTTGTTTGTGAGTCTATGATAACTTTTTAACTGTTTTCTAAAGTAACTTTTTAGTTCAAAAATTTCTATTGAACTAGAATTTTTTATGTTATAAAGCTGTTTTAGAAAGCAATAAAAAAATTATCCCAAACAAAATCTTAATATTATAAAATGAAATTTACATGGTCCACTGTATTTAGAAATTAAGGATTCTTAGATAAATTGCACAGTGGCAACTAGCATAAGAAGCATGGAACCACGAGCCAAATGAGATACAACTTAAAAATGCAAAATATTTTCTATTTAAGAAAAAGCGAGCTTGAAATTTTTTACTGTTCTTGAAAAAAAAGGCAATAAGCTGTTAAGAAAGACTTACAGAATAGTTTGCATGGTTTCCCTTAAAAAAGAATAGTCTCATAAGCAGTTAGATAATAGTACCTTTCAACACCAGGTCGCAGAGGGAGCAGCTTCTTCTCAATGAGAGCCATAAACAGTTCTGTCTTCCGTTTGTGAAGGGAAGCTACGAAACCTACTCTTTGCTCCTCAGTTTTAGGTGCTTTTTCTGGCCAACCGACCTGGTTGAAGTAAGCTGTCATTCTATAGTTCAAAGAACGATAATAGGTGTCAGCTTATCAATAAAAATGAGAAACACACGCATCGTTAACACCCTCGCCTTATCACCCAAAGTAAGAAATGCAGGTAACTTAGAATCAAGTTGAGTGCTATTTCAGGAAGTCAGACCAAATTTTGCATAAGAACCACATCAAAAACTACAGTTTATCCTGACTAACATATGCCACCAAGAAAGAAATAGCCACTAGCACACTCCAGTTGCTTTCGTAATATGAAGTTCCATTACCTCTGCAGCAAAATAATCGATTAAAACAACACATGTAGGATCAACAGCATTTCGTTATCACCCCCAATTAATAAATGAAGGTTGTTAGAGAAGAAAACTCTTTTGGTGTGTATTACTCAATAAAAATCACCTCTATATATAATAGAATAATCAATACAATGCACCGAGGCACAACTAAATGAACATACAAACTGTAGAATAATTTCCTAATTTTTCCTACCCTAAAAATCCCATTCAAGCATAATCATTGCACCCTTTTGGTCTGTCCACATGCTAGCTCTCAACACAGCGCCCTAGTCCTCTGATCGCCCTGTCATTCTCAACGCTTACATTGAGGGGTGGATTCACATGCAATTTTGCTCGCTCGAGCAACATAGCACCTCTTGTCACTTGCAAGCGCCCTACAAACGCACCGAACAATGAACCTCCATCATATTCACTCTGCCTCTCCATATTGCACTCGAAGACACCTAAATTTGGAGCATTGTCTCCATGGTGTTGGCGCATATGTCATCTACGACCTTAATGCCAAGGATGGCACCCCTCCTACTTCGATCAAGCTCACCACTTTGCAATTAATGTTCATTCCTCGTGTCTAGCATCATGCCTCATCAGTAACTCTGGCTCTGAATCTTTCCTCAATCCCCATTCCATCTGTTCCACCAACCACTTCTTAGGTATCATTGCAATATGATACTTCACCAATAGCTATTGTAGTTCCGAGGGTTTCTCCAATTTTGGAATCTCCTTGTACAACTCATATCATTGAGATTGTTGTTTTAAGGAAGCACTCGTTGCTCCAGTGAAAGTTATTTTTGCGCCTCTTTGGAATCACAACTTCGATCAAACTATTTTATTCTATATTGATTCTATTTTGGCAAATTGCCTCAAGCGTAGTTGATATTGCTATATTTTTCATGTCATCGGTGGCTAAGTTACTAGTCAAAATAGATATTACTATCCCAGTACCCTTCATAGAAAGAAATTTGGATTACCTTCACAACCAATAGCTACTAGCAGATGGTAGAGCTTGATATAACTCCTCGTTATTATAAAAAAATTTATCACAACTTCCCATGATGCTTTTGAGCATAACCAAAGATGCAGAAATCTCTTATCAATAGTAGCAATGGGGAACATCCATTTAAGCTTTTATCCCACTACGTGGGGTCGGCTACGTGAATCTTTTTTTTTTCATTGTGTCTTATTAAGAGTCAAATTCTCATTTAAATTTCAACAGAAAGGTTCTTTCTAATATTTTCTAACCAAATTTTTTAGATCTACCTCTACCTCTCTTAACATAGGCCAAATCTAATACATCTACTCTCTTAATCGGATCATTAGAAGGCTGATGTTTTATATGAACAAACCATCTAAGGAGACTCTCTCTTAATCTTATCTACCACTGGAGCTACTCCAACCTTTTCATGTATATGCTCGTTTCACATTCTATATCTAAGAGTAAATTCACTCATCCACTTGAGCATCCTCCTCTCTACAACACTTAACTTAATTATATGCTTCTCTTTTAATGGCCAACATTTTGCACTATAAAGCATTGCAGGTCTCACCGCTATCTTATAGAATTTTCCCTTAAGTTTAAGGGGTACTTTTCTATCACACAATAGGCCCAATGCATTCCTTCACTATGGACAACCAACTTGAATTCTACAAACAATATCCTCATCTATTTCACCATCACCCTTGAAAATAGACCCGAGATATCTAAAACATGTACTCTTATTAATAACTTGATCGCCCAAAGTCATAAACCCCAGATTACATCTATTACTACTAAAATTACACTCCGTGTATTCAGTTTTAGATATACTCAAACGAAAATCTTTATACTTATTAACCTGCATAATTCAAGTTTACCTTCAACGCCCTCTCTAGTCATAGATAGATTGATGTTAGGAGTTATGCACAATAGAATAAAACAGTTACACCAATCAATAGAATAAAACAATGTTTTCTCTCTTCAATAATGTCTATGATTGCACCCATTGTTCAAATGTCTAAAGTCATATATAGTGTATCATTTTTGTCTGACACCACAACACCTTTCGAGATCTTCCAAGTGTCAATATTAAAGTTAAAAGATGAACTTGAGCCTAAAATCTAGAATTAAATAGGATTATCAATATCAACAATTAATGCAACATAAATCTTTTATGGAAACATTCACTGACCCTTCTTCATTGTTTCGATTTTGTCCATCTTCCTCTAATCAGCAATCCCTTTCATTAAATCTCTCTTCATTGCATACTTTCATGTAATTCACCCTTTATTTTTCACAATTCAAAATAGAAAAAGGGTATTCACATAATTCTCATCTCCAATCCATATGTCCTAATTTAAGAATAAGTATCGAGCATCATTGACATCTAAGAATAGGTATCAAACATCATTGCTATTCAGAATTATTTGCCGATAGGAACTGTTAATTGCCAATATAATATTGCTCATCTCTCCAGAAGTGATAACAATAAGTCAAGGCATGAAACCTCCCAACGAAGTTAATCTCAACTGTTCTCAACTAACTTGTGATCAAAATGAATTTATTAATATACCCTACTGCTTAAGCACCTTCAATCATTCTAAGATTAAAGATTCTCTTATTAGAAAAACATTATTTAATGTTGATGTCATTTTAGATATATCTATCCAAATTTTCATTACTCTAATTATGTCTTCTCGATCATATTTTGAATAATGCTCCTAATAAGTTATAGGTGTGCATAACTCCTGGCATCAATTTATCTATGATATATCAATCTTCTTGGTTCATGGATGTTGGTTTGATTTCCAATAGCGATAGGTATTACTTTTTGAGGTATAATAAGTCCTCAAAATGAATCTTCTAGTAACCAAATTTTTTCCATTGAACTAGTTAATATTCACTTGTCCATCCTCGATAGCCATTGTCCCACTTTTCCTTAAAATGTTATATTCAACTTTATTTAGCAAGTTGTTAAGAAAAAAACACATTAGTGATGTTTGAAAGAAAATTATAAGAAACTTAATATAGATGACACAAGAATTTAATATTTTTTTTTACAAGATTATCTCACCAACATCCGCAATCATGCGAAGAAAAAAAAAATCCTCCACTATAGTTCAAAACAATTACACCAAGATTCTCTCCTAAACACAACCACTCAAATATTCCGACAAGAACTCTAAAAAATGAATTAAACAAGTACATACTCTCTTTGAAACAATAACTTGGCACCACAAAACAACATTACCATCATAAAGATTATAGGAAACACTTGTAGATCTCAAGTATTTCCTATCAATCTTCGGAAAACAACGAGCTTTCTCCACAATAATCCACACAAACTCACAAAAACAGTAAATAACTTGTATTATTTGATGAAAGGAACACGGAAAATAACAAGATACACTTGATCCTCAATTCGAGAGGAGGATCGATCTCTCCCAAATCTCTAGACGCCGCTAGAGCCCAAAGAAAACCTAAATCTAAGATATCTCAAATTTCAACCAAATTCAAGATGCCCTAACCCTAGGAAAATACAGTATTTAATGCATATAAATCAAAAGGAAATTCCTAAACAGTCTCTACATTCAAATTCCCCTCCCAAATCCCTCAAAAATCCTTCCTAAAATGGTCTATGGACGTTGGCGGTGCGACCAGTCGCGAAAAAGGGGTGGAGGCAGTCCGCTTCGTCGTGCCAGGGCCAGTCCCGCATGGACCGACTGGACCGGTCCGATGGACCGGTCTAACAAAAGACCAGTACATACAATTTATAGAGCAATTGTATTGTTGAACTCTGGAAATAACACAAGCACTGCATCACCATTCTCCTCTGCCCCCACAACACACACGCAGCAAAAACCCTTTTATTCTTTCTCTCTCCCCGCTCAATTTTTTTATTCTTCATTGAGCACTTAGCCCAAAATCAAATTTCTTAGGCTACCCTCTCTCTATTTAATCATTAATTAGCCTTTTTTCTTTAAAATCTCATATGTCGGTGAAAAATCAAAGGTGCAACAAGATTCACATCAAGGGTTGAATAATCTTAAAAAGCATTTAAACTATGCTAAATTATATAGATTCGTGTGAATAAAAAAAGAGCCAACAAAATTAATGTCAGGCGGAGAACATAAAAGAATAGTAATTTATCTCAAAAAACAAAACTTTAAAACATAATGCTTATCCATCAAGTTAATTTATCCATATTTATCTAGGAGAAAAAATGGGCTCTATGTTTCATAAAATTTATTCTAGCTAACCCATGCTACTTCTGGAGAAATAGGCATCACTTTTACAAATTCCAAGGTGCCACTATATAGAAAAACAATTAAGAAAGTGCGTTTTTTATTTTGCTTTTCAAAAAATTACCATCAGAGCACATGGCGAAAAAATAAAAACTCAAAGTAACAATACAATGACAATATTTTACCTCTCCTTGCCACCACCAATCTTCAACAATTCACCATATAGGTCTACATCCCATGTAACACCCAGCTCCTTCTGTATTAAGGAAAACAAAGTCATAAAAATTAATTTCTTATGAAAATCGGATTGTACGAAGGTAGATAAAAGTGAAGCATTTAAGATCAAAAATATAAAAGTGAAATAACCACATAAAGCCCCTTGAAGATTACTTAGTCGGATACCCATATACAAGAAAACAGCTCAGCAAATGAAAATAAATCTTCAACAAATAACCTGTCTATGCAATTCAATATCCAAAGAAGTGAATGGTTGCAATGCAATCATAATCTATTTTAAATCATTATTTTTATTTTAAAAAAAAGGTCAAAAGATATCCTAGACTATTCATAAGAGGTCATTTTAGTCAAAATATTTAATGTGTCTAATTTAGTTATTTGACTCTTCAAATCTTATCCAAAATAGTTCTTTAACTCCTCAAATATAATCCACACAAATCCAGCAGATTGACTATTTTGGATCACATTTGAAAGGTTAAGGGGCCAAATTGAACACAATTGATAGCTAAGACTAAAATGGCCCCATACAAATAATTCAATGACCATTCTCAACTGTCTCCTCGTAGGAAGGAATTCTTGTGGGCGTTTGAATCATTAGTCAGTGTCACTAGTATACGATATTTTTGGCTAAAAATGAGATCTTTTGGTCAAAAATGATCATAATATATAAGCACAATCTAGCAGATTAGCTACATATAAAGGCATATAAGAGTATTAGATTTAGTCTCACGTAGTAAAACTAAAAAAATTACTAGCGTAGAAGTACTAAGAGGTTATATGACAATCATAAGCTTAAGTTTTAGATTGAATATATATTTGACCACCAGAGTATTTAACCCAACCATTGTTCACCTTTGATTTACTATGTAGCCATTAGTATGACAGCTTGGCAAAGTCATACAGAGATCTTGGCAATTAATGATGAAAAAGGCAAGAACGTTTAGATTTGATGATTGAGACTATAACTACTGGAATATAAAAATTGAAAACAACATTTATCGAAGAAAGCATCACTAACGGTAGTTGGGAACCAAACCAACATTAGGAAATCAAGAGAAGGATAAACAAGCGCTAGGAGTTATCCACTTGACCAAAGCAAAAAAAGTCGCCTTCAACTCATAAAAATTCCACTGCACACATAATTAAGGTATTATCTGACATGCACTAGAAGGCTCTGGTCGTCAATAAGTTATATCTTACACGCAAATTGTTTAATCTCATGAATGAATTCAACTTGATCACAAGTCAATTAACTAGATGACATCAATTTTGATAAGGAAATTTGCCCTTGAGCAAGTTGTCTACTTACATCAATATCTAAAAGTTGGAACACAATTATGGCAGCCAACAATTTATATGGATTGAATAAACTAAAGCTTAATGATATCGAATATCTAATCCTCAGCAAATATGTCAGATGGCAAGAGTCAACTCCGTCCTCTAATTTAAATCTTAATAACATAAGCAAGCCTCAAAACAAAACCAATCATCGAGGGAAAGGTCAATATAAATTATGAAACAAGAGCCAAAACATATATAGTAAAATAAATGTCGCCCAAGTGCATGCGATACTATGGAAAGCTAGAACATATGATGAAAATTTTTTGCACAATAAAGAAAGGGCAAGGACAAGGTCAGAAAAAAAGATATTGTGAATATTGCCACAAAAATATTCAAGATGTGATGATTCTCAATACAAACGCTAAAATGAAATCATTTAATTTGGCTCAGCTGAGTCTTTTCAATCATCTCCCCACAAAAAATTCATATCAAATTCACAGGAAATTTTGAAAAAGGTGTTTCTTGCTGATAATTTACCAAGAGTTTGGCACATTTCCAGCTAAAAAAATATATACTGTATATATATGTCAGCTCACTAAAGAAGGTGCAACACTACTTTCACTACTAACACAATAACTAACCAAAAGAACAATGGTAATAGCATGAGGCAATAAAATTTGCTCTTTATACAACTACAATTGTAAGAAAAATGAAAATTAAAGCTCAATGATGTCAGATATCTCATCTCCATCAATGATTTTAGATAGTGAAGACATAAACCTGGTATTGAGTTTACGTCAAATAAGCAAAAAAAAGTCTTAGGATCCTTCACTCAAATGGTAAACTATTAAATAAAAAATCATTGGAATCTAGCTTTCGTGAAGTATATATTCTGGAAAAGCAAAAGGCAGATCAATTTTTCAAAGCCTGAAAGAGAACTCATAATCAATAAGTTTGAATAGCTACACACTGAAAAAAATCAGATATCCCTCGTAACGTCCCTTGGAAGTCCAATATACTGTCATTTTCATTGATGACTTTGTCGAAGATATAAATGTATTTCCTTAAAAATAAATAGGATGTCTTTGTTACTTTTGTAAGAAATAAAATATAGTTGATAATGAATTCTGTCAAAATAAAGTAATTGCGATCTAAAAATGTTGGAGAGATGGTATGGAATTCAATAAATATAGATTTAACTACAATGAAAACTTGAAAGAGGAAACCTCCACTCCAAAGCAAGTTGAACCATAAGGGCCTCTAATAGCAATGGAGAATAAGAGGCACCATAGAATGACCATATTAAGCCTAAGCTCAATACTCTTATTACAAAGATTAAAATCCAAAGGAATTCCCAAGCCGACTAATTGATATTCTTTCTCTTTTACATTACTTGCTTCCTATTGATGCAAGTGAAGCTGATTGTTATGATGAAGTGATGTAAGTCAAGGATTTCTAGAAATGGGAACTAGTGATGAAAGAAAAAGTCAGACCTAGTGATGCAGCAGTAAGTGCTTCTAATTGATGCAGCAAAACTAAATGTTATGATGAATCTACACAATTAATAGATTTTACTAAAAAGGAACTAGCAATGAAAGAAAAGATGGACTCTCTAGATAAAAAAATCACATGGCCTCTAACAAAGATGCCTAAAAATAAAAATCCTATGTGAAATTCATGGATTTTCAAGATCAAGGGGGATCAGAATGGTAGTAAGAGGAATAAAATAAGGCTCATGGTACAAAACTTCCAATAGAAGGAAAAATTGTTTTACAAAAATTTACACCCAATGATTAAACTAATAGCTATACAATGTGTTGAGCATGGAAAATACAGAGAACATGCACCTTGAGCAATTTCAAGTCAAGATTGCAATTCTCCATGGTGATGTGGAGGATGATATCTACATAGTACAATCCAAGGCTTCATTGTGTTAGGAAAAGAAAATCTTATTTCTAAGCTCAACAAAAGCCTCTACAATAATAAAGCAAATCCCTCATTAGTGATACCAAAAGTTGATGGTTGCAAAAAATTAATTTCATAGATGTCATGCACATCACAACTGCTATATAAAAGGCACGATAAAGGACTATTATATTGTTTTTATATGTAAATGAAATGTTCATTACAAGGGCAAAATATTAACAATATTAATGACTTTAAAAAGAAATTCTCAAAGTAATTTGAAATGAAGAATTTAGAGGGAGTAAAGAAGAATCTCTGAATGAGAATTAATCATGGCAAAGTTGTAGATATCCTGAATCTACCTCAATCTCAAAAAAGCATTTAATAGATTTAATATGATGAAAGAAAAGATAGTGAGCAACACGGTTAATGGACACTTCAAGTTTTCAAAGGAATAGTTACTAAAATAGCAAATACATGGTCCGGCTTAAAGGTTTTTTGGAGGAACTAAAAAATATAAAATAAGATGTTGCACTCTTTTGTGACAGTTAAAGCATTATTCACTCAAGAAAAAATATCATGTTTAACACCAAGAAAAAGTATATAGTGTTGTAGTACCACTTCCATCATAATCAGCTAGAAGAAGAAGATTTGTAGTTCAAAAAAAAAGGGGGGTAGAAAATGCTATAGATATGATCACTAAAGTCATGCACTCATGTTCACATAAAAAAGTAAGGCTTGGTGAAGCCTTAGCTAATCTTTGATAATGATCATACGGAGGTGTCATGGATAAATTTCTCAATAATGCTCATTAATCTTGGTACATTAAAGTTTTGTCTCTAAGTGGGAGATCATTAAATTTGTGGAACCAAACTTTCTGAAAGAATGCCAGCCAGAGTCTCACGGACAGAGAGAAAGAGAGAGGGAGAGAGAAAGAGAGAAAGTAAATGTAATCTGCATTAATTATAGAAACGGTACAGAGGTGCTTATAAAGATAAGTTGCGGTACAGTGGTAAATACATTACACATAAGTATATATATATATATATATATATAGCTTATTTGTTAACAGTCTCCCACAAATTAAGCATTTGATGAGTGAATGGTTAATTTGTTACGAAGGTCGTTAAAACGAGTGATGGAGAATGGTTTCGTCAGAATATCAGTGATTTGATCCTTGGATGGGATGTGAACGAGAGAGATGTTGCCGGAGCCGATGTGTTGACGAATGAATTGGTAGTCTATCTCAATATGTTTGGTTCGTGCGTGAAATGCGGGGTTCTTTGCCAAGGCGAGTGCTGAGCTGTTGTCACAATGGATCATAGTTGGTGTTGTTTGCTCGATGCCGAGTTCGGCAACAAGATGTCGAAGCCATATCACGTCCGATGTGGCTACGGATAAGGATCTATACTCAGCTTCGGTGGATGATTTTGCCACTGTAACCTGTTTCTTGACGGACCAGGAGATGAGATTGGGTCCTAGGAAGGTGCAAAACCCGGAGATGGACTTTCAATCTGTAGCGTCGGATGCCCAATCAGCGTCCATGTAAGCTCGTAGTGTTTGTTCGCCGACTGTTATGGGCAGGTCGAAGGACATTGTGCCTTTGATGTAGCAGAGAAGGAGTTTGAGATTTTGGAAGTCTTGGATGGTGGGGTGTTGCATGTGTTAACATATATGATTGGTAGTGAAGGCAAGGTCAGGCCGTGTGATGGACAGGTATTGGAGAGAGCCTGCCAAGCAGCGGTAGAGGGTGGGGTCCGAGAATGGTTGTGTGCTGATAACTTTGTGGTTGGACTTTGGTGTGACCGGAGTTGGTGCGGGCTTGCAGTCATCAAAACCTGCATCATGAAGAATTTTCGTTGCATAGTGTTGTTGGGTAAGAAAGTAGCCATAAGAAGTTCGAAGGACCTGAATGCCGAGGAAGAGTGAGATTTGCCCGAGTTGTTTGAGAGCAAATTGGGTTTGAAGATGCTTGAGTAGTTTTTGAATGGCAGTTTGATCATTCCCTATGACAAGTATATCATCAACATAGATTAATACATAAATTTGAATATACTTTTGCTTAAGTAGGAGTGAGGGATTGGAGCGACTAAACCCGAAACCACACGATTGAAGGAAGCTGGTTAGTTTCTGAAACCATTGTCGTGGAGCTTGTTTGAGGTCGTACAGTGATTTGTTCAGTTTGCAGACATGATTTGGGAGGTTCGGATCCAGAAAGCCGGGCGGTTGGCGCATGTATATGTCTTCTGGAAGATCACCGTGTAGGAAGGCATTAGAGACGTCAAGTTGAAGTATGGGCCAGTTCCGATTGAGAGCGAGAGTGAGAAGAATTCTAATGGTGGGCATTTTTGCAACTGGGCTGAAAATTTCGTTGTAGTTAACGCCATGTATTTGACCGTAGCCGAGTGCAACTAGGCGAGCTTTGTATCGTTCTATCTGGCCTGTGGGATGTAGCTTGGTTTTGAATGTCCACTTGCAGCCTAGAATAGGCTTGTTGGGTTGAGCAGGTTCGAGTGTCCAGGTGTTTTGTTTGTGAAGAGCGTTGTATTCATCACTCATGGCTTAACGCCATGGGAGCAATTTGGACGCCTGATTGTACAAGGTGGGTGTGGAATGTGGCAGTGTGGTGGTGAGAAGGGTAAAAATTTGTTTAGGTTTGGTGATTCCATACTTGAGTCTCGTTTGCATGGGGTGTCGAGTTCGGTCGGGTATGGGCTGAGATGTATTGGATGAAGTGGAAGTGAGGTTGGTTGGTTGATTTACTACAGTGGGTGAGGTTGGTAAGGTAGAAGTAGTGGTGGGATGCAAACTGGTGTTCGGGAGCAGAGAACTGGATGGCGGGTTGAATGAGGAGATTGTGGAGGTGGGTATTAAAAGAAGAGGGGAGGTGTTGTTGAATTGTTGTTGTGGAATAAGAGGTGGAGTGGTGGGGGGAATGTGATAGGGGAAGATGTTTTCATAGAAGACGACATGCCGAGAGATATGAATTTTCTTTGAGTGTAGATTGAAGCATTTGTACCCTTTATGAAGAGGTGAGTACCCGATGAAAACGCACTCGTGAGAGCGAGAAGAGAGCTTGTTAGGAGCATATGGTTGTATTCAGAGAAAGCAAAAACATCCGAAAGTGCGGAGGTAAGTGTAGGTCGGTGGGGAACCGTGTAGACGTTGGTATGGTGATTGAAGAGATATGGATTTAGAAGGAAGGCGATTAATGAGGTGACTAGTCGTGGCAAGAGCTTCAGCCCAAAATTGTGACGGAAGATTGGAAGCGTGAAGAAGAGTGCGCGTTAGATCAAGAAGATGCCTATGTTTATGTTCTGATAGACCATTTTGTTCTGGAGTGTGTGGGCAGCTCAGTTTGTGAGTGATACCGTGATCTTGGAGGTAATTTTTGAATGCGTGACTGGTGTATTCACCTCCGCCGTCAGAACGAAAGATTTTAGGAGTAGTGTGGTGTTGATTTTGAATAAAATTGCAAAATATTTTGAACTTCGTAAGGGTATCGTATTTTGAGTGCATTGGGTAAAGCCAGGAGAATCGCGTGTAATCGTCAATAAAGAAAACGAAGTAGCGAAAACCATCTAAAGAAATTTGCGGTGCCGACCCCCAAACGTCAGAGTGAATTAATTCGAACGCAAATGAAGAAGTATAAATGCTTTTACTGAATGAAAGTTTATGGTTCTTGGCCACATTACAAGAGGTGCACATAAAAGAATTTGATACATTTTTTAGAGTAGGTATTCTTTGAGCGAGAACTGAGAGAAGTTGCTTGTTCGAGTGTCCTAACCGAGCGTGCCAGAGATGAGTGGGGGTCGTGGTTGCTGTGAAGGCCGTGGGATGGTCAAGTTGCATGTGAATTTGATAGAGGCCATTATGAAGACGCCCACGAAGAAGCGGTGGTTGATCCTGAAAGTCCTTAATCTCAAAGTTGTTAGCATCAAACGTAATGGAAACCGATTTGTCATAAGTCAATTTGGAAACATATAAAAGATTGTGCGTGAGTGCGGGTACGTGAAGAAGGTTGCACAAGCGAAGCTTACGAGGCATGTCGGGTAGCGGAAGGAGGCCTTGGCCGAAGTTGTGAATGGTTAGTGAGGACCCATTTGCCACGGACACGGTATCGGGTCCTTGATAGTTGGCCGAGGAGTAGAGATGTTGTCCGTTCGGAGTTAAGTGGGTAGACGTGCTTGAGTCGAGGATCCAATCTTGAGTGGCGTTAGTTGTCGGCTGAGCGAGAAGTGCTCGAGGTGGTCTGGTTGTGATAGGTGCATAGGTAAGATTACAACGGTGCTAGCAATTGAGTGCTATATGGCCCATTTTGCCACAGATTTGACAGATTGGTCTGCCGGAGTTGGGTGGGGCGGACGGACCAGTTGGAGTGGGCAAGGAATTGGGAGAGCTGGGCTGATTCTTGTTCTTAAAAATCGTCGCAGATTTTTCCCGCGTGAAGGTGTCGGTGTGGAGTAGAGGGCAGTCACGTTGGATCCGTTGGATTGTTCTTTGAGATTTTCTTGCTGAATGTTGATTTCTTCGCTGCAAAGAAGGGCATAAAGTGTGTCTAGGTCGATGGGGAGTAGAGACGTGCGAATGGAAGTCTTGAAAGAATTGTAGATTGAGGGAAGGCCATTGAGGATGTGTAGAATGATGTCTTCTGGATCTATTTTGGATCTGGAGGCAGCGATATTATCAACGATGGATTTAATTTGAGCGAGGTATTGTTTCATTGTCGAATTTTTCATTTGAATGTGATAGAGTTCGTTCTTGAGTTTGATGACTCTAGAGCGACTAGTTGGTTGGAGGCTTTTTTCCAGAGTTAATCAGGCGTCATGAGATGTGGTGGAGAAGATGATATAGGGTAGAATGGATAGAGAGATAGTTGAAAGGAGGGCGAAGAGAAGGTTACTGTCCACGAGTTGCCAGCGAGCGTGATCTTGGGTTGAGGGATCGGCGGGTACAGGAAGGTCACCGGTGAGGTGTCCCGAGTAGCCGTTGGCTTGGAAATGTTGCAAGATCTGCATACGCCAGATGGCGTAGTTGTCAGACGTCAAGGGGTTGGGAATGAGATTCTTGATGTTGGAGACCAAGAACTTGAGGGGCGTCGGTATGGAGATATCATTGGAGGTGCTGTCGGTTTGGACGGTGGAGGAGGAGGAGGATGGAAGAGAATAGGCTGATTTTTGATCTCCCACGAGTAGCTCTTGATACCATGAAAGAATGCCAGCCGAGTCACATGGACAGAGAGAAAGAGAGAGGGAGAAAGAAAGAGAAAAAGTAAATGTAATCTGCATTAATTATGGAAACGGTACAGAGGTGCTTATAAAGATAAGTTGTGGTACAGTGGTAAATACATTAAACATAAGTATATATATAGCTCGTTTGTTAACACTTTCTTCCTAATCAGATTTCTCAAAATATGATTGAGAGCCACTCTTGCTTAAAAATATTAAATCAAAATTTTGTTTATTTATTTTTACTTAAAGAGACCTTGTAAATATTTTATTTATTTGGTGAGATCAAGAAATTGATTTGCAGTTTCCTAACTTAACTTGTAATATCTCTATAAAATGCATTGAGAGCGGATTTTATGTTACATGTTAAAATTAAACTGAGAAAAATGGAAGAAAGGAATTCTATATGGGTGTCGGCAATGTGTCACATGTTAAAATTAAACTGAGAGAAATGGAAGAAAGGAGTTCTATATGGGTGTCGGCTATGAGGAGAACAAGAGGAGCTACAGTTAGGGTGAAGTGAGTGGACATCCAATATGAGTACACAAGGAAAAGGCATAAAAGGTTTTCTTCTTATATTTTTTGGTATTGTAGCAGCATCATCACCTTGCTCTTCTCAAAAGGATCATCAAGTTCATAGCAAGTGGATGCTTCCTTCGAGAATAATAGTAGGTAGCTATAACTTTCTCCTTATTTGGTTCATCTTCAAATGCAATAGGTAAATGCACTTCTTCCTCTTTTAATTTCAACAATCACCGCAAAAGTTGGTTTCCACTTCTTGATTATTACTACACGGTGTGGCATTTGCACAAATATTACAAAACTAGGGTTAGCAACTAATTCATGCCTAAAAAGATCACCTCGTCGAAGGTTTCATTGAATGAAATGCGATGTCCATCCTTCTCGGTGTCCACAAGCACGCCGTCACAGTCAAAAAGCAGCGCTGCGGGGAGGGTGGAAGGAGGAAAATTTGACGAAGAAGAAGCAGCACAGACAGCAACATTCCGGCGACCAATAGGCGCCCATCCACCCCTCCACCCCATAAACACCAGCGCAGAGGAGAAACGCCTCGTCGCCCTTTTAAGCAAAGGCGTCGTCCGAACAATAGTAGAGGACTGAGAACTTCTCCTCGAAGCCAGGGCCGAAGAAGAAGCTCCGGGCAAAGGAACAACCGTGGCCATTCGCTCGGACTTCTTTGACGAATCCTCGATTTGCCACTCGTTCAACCGCTCGTTCCATTTTGTAGAGGAAAAACCTTATCCTGGACCTTGGAGCGTCGCGGGAGCGGGAGCAAGTGACGTCGACTTGAGCTCACATATATTTTACCGGGCTCACTCGCTATAATACTTCCTATAAATGCTGATGCAGAACCAAAATGATAAAGTAAATAAAATTAACTAAACTGTTAAAATATTACAACATTTTGAATTGAGTAATTTTGATTAAAAAAAAAAGGATTTTTACATGCATGCCACTTTATAACTTGTGTATTACATATTTAACATCTAATTCTTAAATATTACACTCCTATCACCTATTATCTATTTTCACAATAAAATTACCACTCCGTTAACAGCGATGCTCACTTCATTTTCTCTTCCTTCCCGCCTCGGCTTTCCGCGGGAGATCAGGTTTTTTTCCCGCTGTAGCTGCTTTTTCCGAGCGTGTATCATCGTGATTTTTTTCCAGAATCCCTCTGTATTTGCTCTTCCACTGTAGCTGCTCTTCCACCGTAGCTGCTCTTCCACACGAGCTAGCTTTCCTTCCCGATCTGCTTTACTCGGTGAGATTTCTCTGCTTCTTTATTCCCGCAAAAAATGGTAATATTTTACTCTACCTGTAATGCGACCATGTGTTTTTGAATCATTTAACATGTTTTTGCTGAATCATTACCATGCGATCAAATTCACTTTGTGGCATTAGTAAAATATTTCCTATCTTATAGCATTACAGGTAGAGTAAAAAATTTCTATGTTTATCTCAAGTATACTGTGTTCTAAGTCAAAAAAACCATTAACATGTGGAGAACGATGAAGGAGTTAAAAGCAGTTAAAAGATTACCTGTAGCTCGCTAGAGAAAGATCTGCAGCCCGCGAGAGGAAGATCGGTGAAGATTTTCTGCTCGCAAGAGGAAGATCGGCGATGATCTGCAGCTCGCGAGAGAAGAGCCGCACAGCTCGCGAGAGAAAGAGACGGAGTGAGGTTTTATTTCAACGGAGTGGTAATTTTGTTGTGAAAATAGAGAATAGGTGGTAGGAGTGTAATATTTAAGAATTATGTGCTAAATATGTAATACACAAGTTATAAAGTGGTATGTATGTAAAAACATTATGGAACTTCTATTTTCAATTTTTTGATTCATTTGAAGTGGCATTACTTGTGAAAACTACGTTAGCTTCCAAAAGAATGTTAGTTAAATTTTCTGGCATAAATAGTGATCGATAGTAATAAAATTTTATATTACATGATATATATTATATTTTTTGTTATTAAAATCTGATAATTTTTTATGACATTTTTCATGCTGCTTCTTAAAATAAATTTTCAGTACAAAATTAAAAAATTATAGTTAAAAAAAACAGTAATAAAATCATCCCAAATAAAATGTCTATCTCACCCTCATAAAAAAATTTTTTTATGGGATTTCTATAATCATCAAGATATGCCTCCATTTAGAAAAAACTATGATTTCATTTTTATTTGATATATTTTTAGGTATTATAAATGTGACCCTCAACTTTTCAATTTCTTTTATGACTATCATTCAGTAATAATCATAAATTAACAAATCTTGATTTCTAGATACTCTAAATTCATATGATATTACAAATTTAATATTGGAATCTTAACATTCTAATATTAGTATCGCCTAGTTCTTAATTTATTTCATGACTTGCAAACAATATTTACTAGTTAGTCTCCCTAATCCCTATAGCTTTTTTAATCCACTTATGACTCTTAGTGCTTCTTTTTTAAAAATTTTTTGCCTCCAATAGCCTGTCTGCTCACTTTGTTTTGGTTTCATTAAACATCCCTTCATCTTTAGTATTCCATCTTCATAGTTTCATACAACAACAAAATTTATGAATGTATCACAAAAAAAAATTTTCAATGCCAATTCAAATCATAATTATTTGATGCAAATATTTATATCAATATTATAGGAATTTTGACTAGCATATTATTCGAAGTATTCATATTTATCAATATTTGAAATAATTTGATATCATCCTAGTTATAATTAGTAGTGGTTAAATATGGCTAATCAATAGCCTAAGTAAGCATAAATAAGCCTTCTAATCCTATAAATAGCCTGGTTATGGAGTATTAGAGCATCATGATTGTTGTGTCCTGAAATATTTGTGGTGATAGAGAGTGATATAGTTTAGCGTTTTAACTATGTACGAAGATCCAACACACAAAAAAATAAGAGAGTTTAGTTATAGCGTGTATAAGAGACATCATATCCGGTATTAGTTGGTAGCCGGGCAGAAGTCCGGCATCCTTCGGTAGCTGCATCCTTCGGTAGCTTGGTGGAAGTCTAGCGTCAGTTGGTGGCCAGACAGAAATCCGGAGTTAGTTGCTAGCCGTGCATAATTTCGGCATCAGTTGGTGGTTAAGCAGAATTTTGGTGTCAGTTGGTGGTTGGGAAGATGTTTGGCGTCATGTAGAAGTTCGACAAAGGTCCTACGACTGGCGAAGTCTAGTGATTGGCGGAAGTCCGACATCGGGTATAAATTTGGGGTCAGGTAGAAGTCCAGTGAAAGTCCGACGGGGGGCAGATGTCTGATGAAGGGTGGAAATTAGGCGTCGGGTAGAAAACTAGTGACAGGCGGAAGTCTGGCTTTGGGTAAAAAGTTCGACGATGGGAAGAAGTCCGACAATGGGCAGAAGTCCGGCGACGAGTGGAAGTCTAGCGACTGGTGGTAATTCGGCGACATATGTAAGTCTGAGAAGTCCAACGAAAGTACAACTCACAAAAGTCCGGCAACTTGTGAAAGTTTGGCAATAGTCAATAAACAAGCAAAACTCTGGAGACGGTAAGGAAGAACTCTAGTGGTGGTCGACGAATAGGTGGAAGTAGGACAATGGCTTGGAAGAACTTTCGGCGGTGGTCGATGGGTGGGAAGAAGTATGGCGGCGATCGACGGACTTGAGAAATTCCGGGAGTGGTCGACGGACTAGCGAAAGTCCGGTGGTGGTTGGGAAGAATTCTGGCGGCGGAAGTCCGACAGTGGTAATATTACTGATATATGATATTAGATAGCTCTTGTTATTATTTATTAAAATATTTAAATAATAATTTTTCTAATTTAAATTCTGGGGTATTACTGGTAGGGATGAACTCCGACGATGGTTAGCGAACTGGTGGAAGTCCAGCGGTGGTCGGGATGAACTCCGGCATTGGTTAGAGGCAAGCAAGCTCCCAAATTATTATCTTCTCCTCCTCTTTTCCTCCTCATTTCATGTGAAGAATGAAGGTTCATTTATAATTTTTTGAGAGTGACATGGCTTATAAAAATTGGGAGAATCAAGGTCAAGATGGGAGTGGTTGAATGGACATTCGATATTGATCTCATTGATCATGAACCATTTATTGATCATTCGAATGTCTTAACTATATCAAAAATTTGTGATCTTGATCTCGTCAGATTCTTCGCATCGAGCCGCTCGATTCGACTATAAGGATGCCTTGTTTGGAATTCGTTTGGCGATTCAAATTATGCTTTGAACCCTCCAAACATGCTTTTGACCCTTGCTTTGGGCTTATTTGGGCTCAAATTAGACTGATTTTGGTGTCTTTAGGTTCTTCTTTCCAAGACGTTAAGTTTGACTATAAGTTTGCTAAAATCAAAGTTTGGATGATCCCGATTTAATTTTGGAAGTTTTTAACTTACTTTTGCTTCAAGATTAGTGCCCGACCAAGACGATTTTTGATGACATCAATTTTATATTGACAATCTATTATCTTTATGAATAAAATTTAATTTCATTAAGAACAAATAATGCAAATAAAATAGATATAAATTTATGAAATAATTAATATGCTAAAACTATATAAATGTCATATCATATCAATATGATTATTGTAATCATTATGAATAACAACAAGTGAAGCATATAATAAACATTAAAGAATACACTCATAACAAAGATGGATTAATTTATTCATTAATCAATAAAAAGTCACATAATAGAGAACATACACTATTCATCATGCTAATCATTATGTTTAGTTGTCTCTTTTCAGCACTTGGTATTCACACTTCTCATTTTGATGTATTGGTTAGAAGATTAAGTTATCAATTAAAAGGTATTGAGTTTGAGTTTTATGTATGCGATATCTATATGAATATATCTTAATTAACCAAAATATTAAAAAATAAAAAAGCACGAGTTGTTCCATAAAACTTAAATAAAAAAAATAAAATCAAACATGAATTCATAGTAAATACAATTAAATTTGCTATATTTATTATTTCATACATTAATAATTCTGATCTTAAAGTTGAAGCAATATAATTAGTAATTACAACTCGGCCCGACCAAAGCGTCCAATCGGCCCGACAATCTCGCGCTCCTATTTCCCTCTGAGCAGCACCAAGAACCTCGCCTCGCCCTTTTGTATCACTAGCTGTTCACTACCTCATCGTCTCGATCTGGTTGTTGTAACTTGTAAGTCAATCCTCTGCCCGTCTTCTTCATGATCTCTCCTATCTCGTATTTCAGTTTCCCTGTCTTTCTTCATCGTCATCTCTCTCTCTCTCTCTCTCTCTCTCTCTCTCTCTCTGATACACCCACACACCAAACGAAAATTCCATTTGCTTGATTAGCTTCTTATAAAAGATATCTCCGACACATTCATCGGGTTCTTAAACTATACTCCACCCTCTCTCACCCGCCCCTCCGACCTACCGCTCACCTTCTCCTTCTCCTCTCCCCTTTCTTTTTTCCAACCACTGCCCCTTTTAGGCTTTTAATCCATCAATCTCAACAGCAACCCGTTTCTCTTCTATCCGAGCAACAGAGATGAAGCCATCGCTGCTGCAGCAGATCCACAACACCCGCCGGAGCAACAGCCTTCGATCATCATCATCCCCGCAGGATGGCGGCAGCGGAGCCGCCGAAGCCGCCTTTCGCTCCCCCGCTGGCGCCTTCTGGCTCCTCCTTCATGCTCTCTGCTGCCTCATCAGCCTTATCCTCGGCTTCCGCTTCTCCCGCCTTGTCTTTTTCATCATTTTCTCTTCCACGGTCACTAATATCTACACCAACTCCCCTGTATTCAGCGCCACGACGACAACGACTACCACGACGACCACGACGACCACCACCACCCACACCGAAACCTTAACCCTACCCTTGCCGCCACCGGCCGCTGATATTCTGGCGCCGAACCGCACCAGGAGCCGCGTGGTGGTCGGCCGTCACGGGATCCGGATCCGGCCATGGCCGCACCCCAACCCGGCCGAGGTGATGCGTGCGCACCACATCATGGAGCGGGTGCAGCGGGAGCAGAGGATTCAGTACGGCGTTAAGGAATCCCGCCCCATCATCGTTGTTACACCGACTTACGTCCGCACCTTTCAGGCGCTACATCTCACAGGCATCACCCACTCTCTTATGCTTCTTCCTTACAATCTGACCTGGATAGTGGTCGAAGCCGGTGGTGTTACAAACGAGACCGCCGGAATTCTAGAAAGATCCCGTCTCCCGTTCCTCCACATCCCCTTTATCGAGAAAATCCCTCTTCGTTGGACCGACCGACACCGGATGGAAGCCCGCATGCGCCTCCATGCCCTCAGGTCCCGATCTCGTTGTCCTGATTTAACACTTGTTATTTAGTTATTGGTTTTGAATGGCAGATCTGATGAAGCTTTTGCAATTGAGCAGGTTGGTGAAAGAGCGGATGTTGGATGGGATTGTAGTGTTTGCCGATGATAGCAATATGCATAGCATGGAGTTGTTTGATGAAGTCCAGAAGGTGAAGTGGGTGGGGGCGCTTTCTGTCGGAATTCTTGCACATTCAGGCAATTCCAAGCCGATGTCTGATAAAGAGCCAACTGAGGAGGAGAAGCAGAATGCTCCGTTGCCTATTCAGGGTCCGGCTTGTAACTCCTCTGGTCACTTGATCGGCTGGCATACCTTCAATTCTTTACCATATGCGGATAAGAGTGCGACCCTTGTAGGCGAGATAGGAACTGTGCTGCCCATGAAGCTGGAATGGTCTGGGTTTGTGTTGAACTCTAGGGTGCTCTGGGAAGACGTTGAGAGTAAGCCGGATTGGTTCAGGAATCTGGATGATGTGGGGAAGGATGGGGAGGAGATTGAGAGTCCGTTGGCTTTGCTCAAGGATCCATCTTTTATTGAGCCGCTGGGGAACTGTGGGAAGAAGGTGCTTCTATGGTGGCTCCGTGCTGAAGCCAGAGCGGACAGCAAGTTTCCCCCTGGGTAAGTGATTCTGACCTGGAAATATTTTTGAAGGATTTTGTGTATCGGCTGTTCTTTGATTTACTCTACTAGGATTTCCAATGGTCTTTTTTCCAACTTCAGCTACTATTTTTTCGCTACTATTTTTTCTAATATTTAAATCGGTGAATTAGGAGGCCCTAAATAGTTGGGATAAGGCTAATGATAATTTTGCTTAAATTAGTGAATTCTCTCAACATGATTGTTCAGTGCGACTTATACGATGAATTAGGTGGCCCTAAATAGTTGGGATAAGAACAATTGTGTTAACGATTACTTAAATTAGTGAATTATCTCAACATGATTGATCACTGTGAATGCTACTACAGTCTATATTTATGCTGAAATGAATTTCATGCAATCCATTGATGTTTGAAAGGGTTAATTTACCAAATACCAATATTTTGTTGTCTTTTATGTGAAATTTCTTACTAAATTTAAGGCCGTGACGCAAAAAATGTGAAACAGGGTATACTTAGAAAATATTTCGGGATAGATATTATAATGATGCGATAGAACGTCGAATACAGGCGCAGTGAATATTACAAATGCTTACCCATCTATAGCATACGGACGCACTTACAAATTATACATATTTATTTCATATATACATGCATAAGTTTATAATTTTATACTTGAAACTACAAAGTAGGTGTTAACTAGAAAAAGAAATTGTAATAGCTATGAATACCCATACATAAGCATATACATGCACATATAGACATTTAGAAAATACGTTACTACATTTGCTTCTCCCTATTCTATGGAAAAATATACTAAATAGGGGTGACAAAGGAGAGTCAGAGAAAGATATTTCAATCAGAGACTAAAAATAAGGGAGCTGTATCAATGAAACTTCGCGAGCTATTGGTTACTAATGCTTCCTTGAGAAAGGAGATATGAAACCAATTATATATATATATATATATATATATATATATATATATATATATATATAATGCAATATTCAATTTTAATAACTCGGTCATTCATCTTAATCCATATCACGAAAGACTGCAGTATGCCAAACTTCATAAAATTTGACCACGATTTGGCCTTTTATCAATCATCTAAATGTAAAATCCTGATAGATGACCTAGATAGTGGATAAATTATTAATTAATTTTATGATATATGAGTACTCAAATTAAATGATTTTTTTTTTCAGTCTATAATGTAATATTTAGAATATTTTCAATGATTTGGATTTCTAAAAAATAAATATTAAGTCCTACTTCAGCAAGGGGTATTGTAGGCTTTGCTTTGTTATATATTAAGTTTGATTAACAGTTAAACATTAATAAAACACGATGAAATTAGTTCACAAGTGTTATTCTTAGGTTTTAGATCAAAAGTAGTTTTCTGTCTTACTGCTAAAGCTGATAGCACCAACAAATAATTTTATAAAAAATGAAACACTTCCATATAAAAGAATGATATTTGATATATTATCAAAAAATTATCTTGATCGAGCATGAATCTTGAGGAAAATTTAAATTGAAAACTTTCAAAATTAAATATGGAGCCATTCGAACTCTGATTTCTACAAACTTATTGTCAAATTGAACACCTCAAGGAGACTAATGCAACGCTCCAATCTGAGCCCAAATGAGTCCAAATCAAGGGCTCAAAGCAAATTTAGACAGTTCAAAGCATAATTTGGATGACTAAATGATATTCAAATGTGACATGCTTATAGTCAATTTGAGCGGCTCGACGAGACGAATCCAACGAGCTGAAGATCGCCGAATTCTGATATCATTAAGACACTCAAATGCTCGATAAATGGTCCATGATCAAGGGAATTGATATTGGCCGATCATCAAAACTCTCATAATATGCCATTGATTTTCTCTCTATTTACTAGTCATGCCACTCCCATAAAACTATAAATAGGCCTCTCATTTTTCATTGAAGGAGGGAGGAAGGAAGATAATGAAGAGAAGAGAGGAAGAGAAGAGAGGAAGAGAAATCTAGGAGCTCTCTTGACACTAAACTTCTCCTCGACCACTGCCAGGCCACATAATGGGGCCAGACTTCCATCCGACCACTGACCGTCGCCGGACTTCCGCTCGGCCACCGACTGTTGTTGGACTTCTGCCTTGCCGCTGATCGTCGTCGAACTTTCGTCTGGCCACCGATCGTCGCTAGACTTCTACCCGACAGCCGTCGGACTTCCGTTCTATCACCATCGGACTTCTGCCCGACTGTCATCATTGTAAATTCACACGAAGTTCAACCCACTTTATGGACTACTCTAAATTGATAGTCCTCAAGTTTAGGGATGGGTCAATCTTTGTAACATATTCAAACAACAGTAGAATCGTTACAACTGGGAGTGACCCCATGGGTTTTTCCTTTTGCTGAGTTTCCCACATAAAATCTTGGTGTTTTAAGTTTTATGTTTGTGTGTTGGATATCCGTGCAACGTCAGGACGAAAAATTCTCTTACATTACCGACGCAAATATTTAGCCTGCAACAAATTATATGTATACCTTTTAAAGTCTATATTCTTTGGTTATCCTATTTTTTTATTATATGACTCATAGATTTAATTTAGGAATACTTATCTTGCATATCTCTTTTGTTCGTAAATATTGTAATCATTTCTCTAATCATTTGGAATCTTCATAGCCTTTAAAGTTTTATTGAAAGAATTGCTAATCAAATCATTGCAATATCTCCCACCCATAACTATTCTGGATCCATTGCTTTACCTTCATGCATCTTCTTCAAAGTTAAGTTATTGTCACTTTTTTAACAAAAGATTTGGAAATCTATTTACAAAGCTCAGTAGGTATTTTAAACCAAATATCTACTGAAAGGGACAAACTTGATAAAAATAATTATTCTTATATGCATAAATCCTTTATATTAAACCGAACAACCTGGTGATTTTATTTCCATCTGTAGCTTTATCTCGTTCCACTGGAAACTACTTTCGCAGGCTATTCTGAATCAGACTTTGGCTTTTTATTCTGATAGACTTTGTGCTAGTATGCAATTGGTGACTTAGACATTAGATATTTCGATACAGAGTTTGAAAAAATAAGTTGTTATGTATGGTACTATTCAGTTTTTTTATCATTAAAATCAAAACGTACGAAGAGCTAGTAAAGGAGATACTATAAAACTAGTTTCAAAATTAAACTATTAACTCTACTGACGGTATAATTTCAGTTAAAACAAATGGCCGATGATGTGAAGTAAAATTGTCAGCTTCCAAGTTCTAATTTATGCGCTTACTTGAGTAGAACATTCCTTATAAATCAACAATGATATTAATTTTCCCAAGAAACCTTATGGTTATGTGCATATTGAAAGAGTTTGCACTATTTTTAATGTTCTTCAGATATTTCTTAGTAAGATTACTTTTTTATTTATGGATATGTTCGTTTGGTTTAATCACATTGGATAGAACCTGAACGGTTAAGCTATTGTTGCTTTGATGTGGATGAATTCTCAAAAACGTCTGATTCACCCCCCAGCATTTATTAAACTCACTACCCTTAATGAATCTAACAAATCAAGGTATGCAGTTAATTTTTACAAATTTTGACGTTGATTTTTTTTATTATTGTTTGAGTGCTACTCACTTCTTTGATTAAAAAATATTTTTAAGTGCTAAACTACCAAGTTTTCATATTGAGTGGTTAGTAGGATTATAGGTTACTTTTTCTAAACGATTAATAGTTCTATTTGCCTTTTTTCTGTGAGTTGACATTATTAAAACTCGTATGGGGAAGAGCTTAGAAACCACGTGCACGTTGGCGTAAGTTGGCTGTGAAATCTATGTTGTGGATCAGGCAAATTGTGATGTGATGCATACATGCGATGGAGTTACTTTAAGAAATTAAGGAGAGCAATTTTAACAAAATAATCCAAAATAAAATTATCACTTATAGCAAAAGATTGATCCTTGGAGTTCTCAGTTTTTAACTTGCTTAGGCAAAGAAGAGCGCAATCAATCAACCAAACAATTCAAGAATACACAAAGAATAATTGTAAAACTACGACAATAAACAAGAGTCCACGATTTAATAATGAGAATTTTCACCTTTGGAGTCCATACGCTCAACTAGTCTAGGCTTTAGCGGAAGAAGAGTCTCCACATTAGAACCGAGGTCACTCCGAGGAAGAAGGTACCTAAGATCGTCGTTCTTGGATAGGTGGCCGGAGTATGGAATTCTGGACATCGATTGGGGCCTCCCGGGTGAGGGTGTGGTGCAAGGAATCCTGCAGAATTGTTGGACAGCAACTACGACGTCATCCCGGACAATTATGCTTGCTGAATTTGATACTAGTGGACAGTGGGCTGCAATGGTGATCTCTCCAATTCACTGGACAGCATTTGTAATGGCAGAAAACCTGTAATAGCCCTTGGAGGGCTTCGGGACAGCAACCGGGGTGACTTCAGGCCACAGAGCAGTGAGAAAACTGGGTTGGTTCTTCTTGGCAGCAAGCTGAGAAGGGGAACACCAGCAAATTGGATATCTGGGACAGATGGAACGTGGAGCTCTTGTGCAGGAGTTTGGTGGCTGCATGAGGCGTTTGGGAAATTTTCATTGGGACTTTTGATGGGAATTAACTGGGTGAACAATAGGGAAGGGAACGGGTGGGGCTAAGCAAGAATTAGATTGGGAAATCTGAAATTTCCTAATTTTAATTTGGACTTTGTAATTTCAAATTTTTTGAAATTTGAAATTTAGGCTTAGGAGGGAAATTAGGGAAATTAAATTGAGAACTAAAATTAATACCATGAGGAGCCAGCGGTTTTTGGAGAAAATTAGGGATTAATGGGATAGGAGTTAATAACAAAGGAGGGAATTTGGGGCTCTATGCATGGCCGGCCATATGAAAAATTAATGGTTGGAAATTAAAAGCAAGTGGGGCCCACTTACTAGTCTAGTAATTAAATAAATCTGAATGTATTTTCAGTTTTCTGAGATAAAATGTTGCCAGGCTTGAAGAGTTATCAATTAGAAGGAATTTGAATTGAACCTCATGAAGCCACTTGGAATTTCAATCTTTGAAATTTGAATGAGGGGAGGAGGGAAACCGGCGGCCAATCCCAGGAACTGGGCTAGGGACGGGATGGGGAAACCTGCCGGGAGCAGCTGACAGGGAGGGATGGCAGTCAGGCCAATCCAGTGGGGGCGACGGCAAGGAAATAGGGGAGGAAGAGGGAGTCGGCGGGGTGGGGAAGAAAAGGAGGGCTTGAAGAAAACGTAATTGCCGGATTTACTAACCTTGCACCACGCCACCGGTAGAACTCACAAAGAGATCTCCGGCAAACTCCTCTTCAAGAACTCACAAAGAGATCTTTAGAGGCTTCATGAACTCACAAAGAGAATCATCAAAATAAAATTTTCATTTATAAAAAACTAACTATTACAAGAGAATGGCCATATAAATAGGCCTCACCATGACAAAGAAAAATAAAAAGACTAAAATGTCCCTTGGGCTACAATAGCTACCAAATACCCATAAGGGCAAAAACGGAAAAACATAAAATAAAAATAAACTACTACATAAAATGATGAAAATACAGATCATGATCGTGGCCGTCGATCTCCGGTATCTCCAGAAGGTACATGTGTCGAAATCGCTGCCAATGTCCCCATCAAATTGTTTTCTTTATTGTCTTAAATTTATGTTGGTCCAAGTAGTTTATACCTTACTAGTCACTACTTTGTAGAAATGGTCATCGTGTCTTATAGAAAATATATCATGAACCGACATTGTATTGATTTGTCTTTTTTTAGGTGACGTGTCTCATTTTATATAGACGCACTGCATATGCTGGCTGGTTATTTTTGGTTATGAAATCACAATGAAATGTTATTTTAAAGCATATTAATGGAAAAATGAAATATAAAATATTCGTATGAAATGATTATAATATTTGATTTAAAGAATTAGATTGGTAGTTCTATCTTACTTTAAATCCACTTTTCTTTATTTGGTGGCTTTATGGTAAATTGGCTGTTAGGTTATCTAAGCTACTTTACCAATTACCACTCTATTCTTCCTTTTTTATAATCACTGTCCTCTTCATGATGCTAATCATCTACATTAATAATTTCATGTTTCCGTCTCCTGTCATTGCATTGTTACACATTCATGCATATCACAGAATTATCTTTGCTGCTTGAATCTTGCCATTTAACTCATGCCATGCATAAATGTGATGACAAATCTCTTGTTTATATTTCTTAACTATTGTCAAAGGTGAGCTAGATGCTCATTTTGGTGAGGCCATAATGCGTCACATAACTGCCCCATATTTGCCATAACTACCAGACACATAGGCTAGCGCCTTGCATTAATTACCCAAATAATAAGTTGAGTTCATTTCCTTGATTGGGGAGATAAATGCTAATACTTCAAATGATTATTATGAGTATGTTATTATAATTTGACATTGAGTGATGTGAAAAGGGCATTAATAGTTTGGGAAATGAGAAAAGGAGTAAAATGATATTAAAATAGTCGTCAATTATATTAAAGGACCATTTTGGTCCCTCAACTCCTTAAAGAGGAATTAAAATAGTCCCACTATGGGACTATTTTGAGACTATTTTGATTCTTCTTTAAGGATTTAAGGGACCAAAATAGTCCTTTAATATACTTGAGAACTATTTTGGTCATTCATAAAGAGTCAATGGACCATTTTAATTCATTTCCCTTTGGGAAATTGTCAATCAGACTCTTCCGAGGGTTATGTTAATTATGTAGAAAAAAATGGGTATGATAAGGCAATCTTGGAGTGATTTATGCAATCTAATATGGCAGACACAGTATTTTCTAGTTTTATTCCTAAAATACAAATATTTATAATTGTTGGATTTAATTGTGTATGTAGATGACAATTGACCTTACTAGCAAACATTCTCAAGAGATAAGAATCTAAGAACTTAGAGCGAGCATGAGAAAGAAAGGAAAATATTCGGAGAATTTAAGGAAATCTCAAAGAAAAAAAAGATAGAATATATCAATAATGCTCCCAAAAGATCCGAAATACATCTCTTCATCTTTTATTAGAATATGATGTCTATAGGAAAAAATGCATAAAAAAGTACATTAATTTTGGCCCATTGTGGACCGAACATGACACGTGTTGCGGCTTATTAGGCACCCATGTGGCTCTTTGTTTTGGCTCAGTTCTCGGTCTTAAGACGAGTCTTCAAGGATGAGTAAGCAAGGAGAATTTTTGAAGCGGGCTGGTGAGTTGATAAGGTGAGTCCTCTGGGCATGCTGACAAGTCTATTGGTACAATTATGAGGCCATTAAATGTGAAGGGTGAGTTCCTTTGTATTATGAAAATTGTGAGCTTAGAGCTAGCTAAGTCCAAAGGATCATACCATTGATCTCTTGAGATGCTCCTTCATTGAAGATGTGTTAAAGTGCTGATAGTGTCTTGTCTTTAGGCGAGGGCAAGTAGCATTGGGGTGTTTTTCCTCGCTGAAGATAAAAGATTTTAGGAGTTTGAATGGACCTTTATGGCTCCTTATAGCTTTTTTTTAAGACCACTCTTTGACTTGTCTTGTTCTAGGAGAGTCACATCCTTTGGTTGGCGTGTGTCCATGGAGGGCGAAGTGACTGTTCTAGCTGAGCTCTTATCACTAGAACCTATTAGGTCTGGGTTTTTCAATTTGAATTTATTAGGTACCTGCAAAAGCTCTACATGGACATGTACAAGTATATAATAACTATACTACTTGATTACACAGATTATACAACCTTAATAATATAACAATAATTATGGCATCAAATGTCTTCCTTCAAATTGATATTGCTTTTTCAAGAAGCATCAATATGTCTTATGAGGAGCTGATGATTGTCGTGTTTTGGACTTCGGAAGTATGACAACAATCAAAAAATTTGTTGAAGATGTGATACATATTAATAATATGATTGCCAAAAGCTTTACAACTTGAATGAAAATAAAAAAAAAATTAGAAAATTAGAAAATCATAATTTTAATACAAGTATCTTTTTAGTGGTTTTCTCAACTTGTTTTGATCTATACACATTTATTTGCAGGTCCGCCTCTTGTATACTTGTATACTTGGGCTGACACTTGGCTAAGGGCCGGCTGGACCGGTCTAACATATTACACATCGTCATCTTTGGTGTTAACATAATTCTTTGGGGTCAAATTCATGAATCATTCTCTTCCATTCATTCTTTTTGAGTGTTGCATGAAGTTATGATTTGATTTTCTAAAGTCCCGCTCAATATCCTGCCAAGTAAGTTTTGAATAGGGCTGCAAATGAACCGAGCGTTCGACGAGCTACTCGTGGCTAGGCTCGATAAGGGCTCGTTCATGTTCGTTTGATAAGATAAATGAACAAGCTTGAACAACTTTGACAATACTCGATAGCTAAATAAACAAGCTTGAACACCCTGACGTTCGGCTCGATAAGGGCTCGTTCATGTTCGTTTGATAAGGTAAATGAACAAGCTTGAACAATTTTGACAATACTCGATAACTAAATAAATAAGATCGTTTAGAGCTCGTGAACATGTTCGTTAAGAAACTCGATTATGTCTTATTTAATTAAAAAGAATTTTTAACTATTAACTAAAAAGATATTTAACATTTATAACTAAGCTCGTTTATATTACTACTTTACTAATAATATATTTATTATTATTTAACTATTATACCGTTATTTAATTAATAAGATATTTATATGTATATATATATATATATATATGTTACTATTTTAAAATTTTAACCCCTTGCCCCCTCACCCGCCTCTCTCTTTCTCTCTCTCTTAATTTTTCTATTTTAATTAATGCCCGCCTGATGCCTCTCTCTCTCTCTCTCTTCTCTGTGGCTTAAAGGAAAAAAAACTGTAGGGGAGGCTTTAGTCCCACACTGCCTGAAGTAAAAAAATTTCTCTAGATAAAAGCAAATAGAACTGCAACTCATTTGAAGTGTAATGTGTAGGAGGCGGGCGGTCCATCTCGTTCTATGTTGTATTTCTTCTAGCTAGCTAGCCGACTTAAAATAAATTAATTTATTTTGATAATTACGGTCAGCTCAGCTGGCTCGTTCACGAGCCGCTCGATAAGTGTGAAACGAACCAAACTCGAATACGAACCGAACTGAGCTCGAACATGGAAGTTTTAAACGAGCTCGAACACGAACAACTGGCCAAGAAACTCGACGAGCTTCGAGCCGAGCTTGAGCTTGATTCGGACAGATGAACCCGAACTCGAATGGGCCAAAGCTCGGCTCGGCTCGGATCGTTTTGCAGCCCTAGTTTTGAACTTCCCTATATAATCCATCCACACTAATTTCATCCATTCGCTTATTTTCATAAAGTACACCATTGCCATCTTTCCTCTAACACAATTATTTTTCATTTCTTATTCTATCATCTACCACACTTGCCACAATATCAGCTGGGCTCATTGTTTTTCTATTCTGTTGGTCAATCTTACATTCTGCAATTGGTTTACAACCATATAAGACCCTTCACAATCTCCTTGGCATCATGTTTTTCTGTTCTTGTTCGAATTTGTTATAATTATGACCGATTGAATTGCTTCTTCCTTTGCTATAACCAAAACTGTGAGATTGAATTTGTTATGATTTGCTAGAAAGACAGTTATTTTGTGATCCTTGAAAGCAGCTGATTGTGTTAAACTCTTTAAGTTTTTTGTTCTCTTTCTATGCACCATTCCATGAAACTCAATGATACTTGCTGCTATTCGCTTTGTACATCATTTTGATGTATCAAGCTTGACTCTCACTAAAAAAAAATACAACAACAACAACATCAAGCCTTTGTCCCACTACGTGGGGTTGGCTACATGAATCCTTTTTTCGCCATTAAAGAATTCATGTCATAATTACTTGACAAATTTTACGCTAGCTGTCGACCACCTAACGCAACCCACCTCTTCCTTCTGAACATTATTTCCTTCGATTTTCTTTTTGTTCAAGGGATCCAGCAAAAACATACCTGTTTATATGTATATTTTTATCATCTGAGCAACACGTATTGATGCATGTAGATGGATCATCGATCCTCCTCTGGAGATCATTGTCCCTGCAAAGAGAACTCCATGGCCAGAGATTCCCCCAGTCCTTCCCCATGAGACTGTCTCCAGCATCCAAGAACATACAGAAAAACAGTCCACGAGGTCCGGTAGATCTTCCAGACCGAGACGAGCTTCTCGCAGCAAGAAGAAGCATGACCCTCTTGCTCAGATTTCTGTAGCGGCCCAAAAGCAACAAAACTGAGGCTACAAAGATCCATCTGTACAGGCATACTTCTGTTACTCTACACTATTCTACTACAATATCAATAGCTTTGCTTGGCTTGCCTTTCATTGTTGCAGCTCTACCGAATCCTTAAGGCTTCATTTGGGACCGTTTTTTTCCTGCTTCTTGAAGCAGCTTTATAGTATAAAAATTAAATTTTTTGTACTAAAAAACTGCTTCAAGAAGCAGTAAAAAAAGCCGAAGTTGCCCAATTTTACTGCTTATTGCGCAGAAGAAACGCTATTGATTTGAGGAGTTCTAGGCTTTTCACAAAATTCAAGCTGCTGTGGATGTTTCTCTGAAGATTTTTTCTGCAAGATGAACGAGTAGTTTTCATAAGCGTTTGGTTATTAGGTCTGATATTATAGTATTTGATCTTGCAGTATTCTATTATTCATTGACTTGTATTCCTACAAAGATACTTGTTGCCATACAAGTTGTGTGTCAGACTTGCATCAGTCCACATTATTTATCTGATTAATTTTATAGATTTGCTTCCTATTCATTGCAATGAAGCCTGGAAGAATTTCTCTACTTTCCATGTTTAGTATTACGCTATGTTTTAGCATACTATATCAGGTCATTTAAAACTCCCTTCTTTAGAAAATAATTGCGTCTAAAATAAGTGTGCAGTCTACATGTCAAATATGTTGAATATAAAATTGCATCATAAATGTTTTATATAAAATGAAATAACACAAATAACCATGCTGATGAAAATTTATAGGAAAAAAATCAATAGAAATTAAAAATAAACCAAAAAACAAAATCTTATACTATTGATTTTAGAGTTATTTTGATTAAGTTGTTTTATTAATTCAAGGTGCTACGTACATTAGAAAAACCCCAATTTTTTAAACATTTATGATTCACCACAGTTTCAGCCTTATATGATTGAAGCCTCCAAAGAATTTTATAATATGTAAATAAAAATGTAATATAACAGGAATTTATAAAAAGTATGGATGCTATAAAAATTTCAATCTTTGGATAACAAGAAATATATTTCTAACACCAAGCAATCAAATGAGTCATCACAACAAAGGCTTTTTTGAGGATTAATTATTTTGTATAGATGAAAACCAATCAGAATACGTCACATCATCCATTTGCTCAGTACCGCAGCTTGATACTACTCGGTACCGCTAACATGACGCATTCTAATTGATCTCTGGACAACATTCTGCGTATGGCCTCCACACAATAATTTCTCTTATTTGAGACAGTTTTTTTATTACCATCAAAAATAACTTTTTAGTACAAAAATATTTAGTTTCAAAAATTTTTGTAAAAGTTAGCTTTGAAAAATAGTAACTGCATCAAACAAAGCCAAAAAATCAAGAGAAGGCACAGGTGCTTAATCTACAACTTAAATCAAGGTTAAGGTTTAAGCATCAGGATTTATTTCAGAATCATAAACAAAATGGAAGTCTCTCTCTCTCTCTCTCTCTCTCTCTAAAGTTTTATCATGGTACATGTTTTTTCCTGCCGCCTATGACAAAAAAATCATCATCAATAGGAAAAATTGCAATTACACTGATCACAAATAAAACATGAATGTTCAGTAACTTTATTTTTGAACTGATGCAACGAAGAAAAAGCATCAGTAATTCATTTTCTAGTTCCGGAATTCTTCCATAAATGATTCATGGAATGCCTTGAACCTGGAGATGATAGCAGGGATCTTCTCTTCCTGAGGTAGAATTGTAAATCTTATGTGCCATGTCCCAGGAACCTTCAACCAGAGCAAGGGGAAAAAAACTGAGATGGATAAGAAAAAGAAACTGCAACTCTCAAGCTGATGGAATCAGTACAAGAAAGCTCACCTGGCCAAAGCCGGAACCGGGAACGACCACGATCCCGGTGGCATCAAGAAGGCGGCGAGCATAGAATGTATCAGGTACTGAGTTAGCCGCCTTGGCAGCCTCAATTGCCTTCTTTGGCAAGTGAATACGGGGGAAGAGATACATGGCCCCCTCTGCCTTATTGCAGATCACACCTTCTAAGCTATTGAAGGCATCTTCTAATGCCTGCATTGAATATAAGAGGAGAGTTCTTTATCAAACTAATTTCTACATATGAAACTGTATAGTTGACCAGTGTATGACTATACATTTTGATTTTTGAATGGTAAACCAAAAGTTAGACCTTTTTCGTTGTAGTAAAAAATTAAATCTCATTATTAAACTTATCCCAATAATTTGGGGGCAGCTATTCAAATCCTCTAATCATTTTAGTTACATTTGCAAGAGGATGTACTTTGGTGTATGCTTTTTGCTGATGATATTCTTCTTGTTGATAAGACTAGAGAAAGAGTTGAAAGTAGACTTGAATTATGGAGGTCAACATTAGAGGTTTTCGCTTGAGTAGATCTAAAACGGAATATATGGAGTATAATTTTAATAGTAATAGACCTAGTGAGGGGATTGTGACTTTGGGCGATCAAGTCATTAATAAGAGTACACGTTTTAGATATCTTGGATCTATTGTTCAGAGTGATGGTAAAATAGATTGGGATATTATCAGCAGAATTCAAGTTGGATGGTTGAAGTGGAGGAATGCATCGGGCTTATTGTGTGATAGAAAAGTACCCCTCAAACTTAAGGGAAAATTCTATAAGATGGTAGTGAGGCCTGCAATGCTTTATGGTGCTGAATGTTGGTTATTAAAAGAGAAGCATAATACTAAGTTAAGTGTGACAGAGATGAGGATGCTCAGGTGGATGAGTGGCTTTACCCTTAGAGATAGGATACGAAATGAGCATATACGTGAAAAGGCTGGAGTAGCTCCAGTAGAAGATAAGATTAGAGAGAGTCGCCTTAGATGGTTTGGTCACATAAAACAGCGGCCTTCCAATGACCCGGTTAGGAGAGTAGATGTATCAGATTTGACTTAAGTTAAGAAAGGTAGAGGCAGACCTAAAAAGACTTGGTTAGAAAATATTAGGAATGACCTTTCTTTATTAGATTTAAACGAGAATTTGACCTTTAAAAGGACACAATAGAGAAAAAGAATTCATGTAGCCGACCCCCACGTAGTGGGATAAAGGCTTGATGTTGTTGTGTTGTTGTTGTTGCAAGAGGTGTTAACTCTATTTCACATGAATTTTTATATTGTAATATCATTTTGATCCGTTTCACCTTGTTAAACTTTCAAAACAGTTTTATCTAACCATCTTTGTCAACGAGCATCTTTTACTCTCATTTGTACCAAACCACTTAAATCAATTATTTACTATCTTCAGTGATTACTATGTAAGATGCAGATTTAAGTATGACCATTAATTTTGACAAAGCATCCTGAATCCCAAATAGGATGAAATATTAATGGTTTAAAGAATTAAATTGCCAATCTTAAAAAGGACTACACTGCTGAAAAACCTCAAAATATAAGAAAAAATATGAGATGGACTTCCAAGTGCATATATATATATATATAACTTCCAAGTATACTGAGAGCAACTCGTATTAACATTTAGGTTTGTGTGCCCAATCCACCTAAATCTAAAAGGAGCGCAAAGATTTTACTACCAAGTAGTTGGGATGAACTTAAATGAAACCTTTTAAAAGAGAGAATAGTTGAGAGAAAATGAATTTGGAGAAAGGGAGGGCCTTCAAGATGGAAGTAGCCAAAAAGGGCTTTTGACAAAATATTCAATCATATTAATAAAATGATGGACAATAGCTCAATTAGCAGTCCAAAATATTCAACCATATTAATAAAATTAAAACTATTTTTATCATAAGTACAGACAATCTAAAAAAGAAGTCATTTTACATCAATTCAAGATAACAAAGCCATAATAAACTCTAACCTTAGCGCGCCGTGCTAAAGATAACAAAATTCCATCTCGCTCTGCAGTGAAAGAGTCATATGATTCATCTCCAGGCTGCAAAAATTCAAGGACCATATTAAAATGGTGAAAACAACATCTAGCATAAAACCAACTTGATTAAGATGTTCCCTTGGATTACTTGAGAACTAGGTTTTCTTGTCAAATTAGCACTAAGAACGAAAAAATTTGCCGATCACCTTCGGTGGATTCATGACTAGGCTAGCAAGAATTTGGCCAGAGATGTTCGAACAGAGATTTACAGAAGCCACCTTGTAAATCTGTTCTCTCACATCAGCACTAAAGCCGGTAACCTCCATATAGCCACCCCTCTTTCCACATTCTCCATAGTATCCTGAGGAGAATTATCCATTAGTTTTCCTCCCATAAATGAGGTATTTATACTAAAACCAAAGAATCCTTACATATGGTTACTCTCAATAATAAACAAAATATAGGTATATATATGACATCATTCCATCAAATGAAACATAAACAAAATAATATACCCTTAGAGACTGATTGAAAAGACACTAGAGAAATATCCTTGTCGCCAAGTCCCATAGATCTTGCAATCTTCTTGAGTGAATTGAATTTCTTGTCCCCAACATAGATATTATCTTGGTATACCTGTGCAAGTGTGTGGCATCTTAATTTACTTCATTGATAACCAAACACAACATCCAGTATAAGAGAAATTCAAAAAGAAATAAGATATAGACAGATCCTTTTTTTTTTTAATACTAATTGAAATTAAGTTTTAGAGGGTAAGAGACAGGCTTAAAAAGATAACACATACCTCATCTGCTAGTAGAACCAAAGATTCTTTCTTGCAAAATTCTATTATCTGTCTCTGGTTCTCCTCTGAAAGAACCTGAATGATATGGCCAAAGCAATTAAAAGAAAATGGAAAAGCACCTATAGCGAATTGATTATGGAGAGTACCCTATGGACAACAATCAACAAAAATGTCATTGCTATTGGGATGCTCTAGAGAACAGTAGACTATAATATCATTAGAATAATAGATAAAAATAATCATAATTGGCAAACCTTATCCCAAACATTCGTAGTTGGCTTTATGCATCATAATTTTCTATTTGTTCCTTTAAGTTGCACGACCTCTTCTTAATTAATCTTTTGAAATAATTTTTAAGCATGTTACCATAGATTTACCATATTTCTTTTCTAATATATCGACACTAATTTTACATATCTTACTGAAGTTTATTTTAAACTATTGTCTCATCAACATCATCATCATCAGCCTCATCATAAATATTTGAGATCAGCTTTATAAATCCTCAATTTTCATCCGTGCTAATCAGTGAGGCCTACGGTGTTAAACCTATTCATAGTAAAACTTCTACAATGCATCTATCCAAGATATCTTAGGGGTACGCCCTATTCTTCCTAATCCTCCAATGAACACAATTCTTAAGTTTCATTATATATGTCCATCCGCCTAAGTCTATTTTCAATAGATGTCAATAGATGTCACTCCAACTATTCATGTTATGTAATTATTCTTTAATCCATCCATTCTAATTTTGCCATAGATCCACATCAACCTTTACAATTTTTCCCCACCTAATATAAATATCACTAACTTTTTTTTTACTACCAACAGACATTTGTACAACATCACCAAACTAATTATGGTTTTACAAAATTTAATGTTAAAGTCCTTATAATATCCTCTTATCGCATAATATTCTTGAGGTACTTTTTCATTTAACCATCAAATCTTAACTCTAAAAACTTTATTATTATTTATGTTTACTTTCTTCTTTATAATAGATCTAAGATAACTAAACATATATCACCAGCATATTACTTTATCTTCTAATATTGCTATCACAGCCACTCAAATTATATATCATATAAATAGTCTTTACTCTATCATTTTAAGCCACTACCTTCTAAATATTTTCTTCAATGTTTTAACTTATCACTAATTTCAATAGGTGTATCATTTAGAAAAGTAATTCAAGTAAAAAACATATGTCAAGCCATCTTAGAGAGAATATACTTTATAAATAATGATCTTTGATGTAATTCTGCTAAAATTGAAGCTCTTTGATTACTCCATAAATAGTAAATTAGTCAATGCTCCAACATACAAATCTTTATTAATTTCACTATATCTTTAATACAAACTATTTTAAATATAATCTGACCTAATGAACCACGCAAATATATAACTTAAGGGGTGACATTCTGACACGGGAGAGGGCACCAGGCTGGTCTAACAAGAGCCAAACCAGCAGGGGGGAAAAAGGAAGGGATTAGGCTATAGAGCCCATTAAACCTATCATTACATATGTGAGAAGAAGAATTAAGGAAGAGATTAATTTAGGAAGGATTTCCTAATTGAAATTCAAATTGGAGAGGGAAATATATTAGGAAAGGGGGCCGATTTAGGAAGGGATTAATTAGGAAGGATTTCCTAATTGAAATTTAAATTAAAGAGGGAAATATATTAAGAAAGGGTGGGCTGATTTAGAGGGAAATAGGAGATGATTATTTAACGCTAAGTTTAGAATTTATTTTTGTTTATGCAGAATTTTATTATTAGAGTTGATGTAGTTTTCTTTTTGTGAGGGCTTCCTAGCGGCGTCTAGGTTGTTTGGGAGAGCCAATTTACCTCTCAAATTGTAGATCACTAGTATCTTTCTTTCTTATTGAAGTTATAATAAAAAATCAGCCATCCATATTCATATTTCTGCAGTTTTTCTATTGTGTGTTTGCTGTTTTTGTCTCCAAGGCGTATCACATTCCAGCCAACACATGCCTATTTTTCACCACAATCAGATAGAGTTATGGCACGCCACTTAGGGATGACATCCTAATAAACCCTTTTTAACATATCACCATTATAAGGTTAGATCTTGATGCCAAACTTAAGGTGAATGCCCTCGAAACAACTAAATTCAGATGACAATCTCATCTTCAATTGTTCAAAATAATGATTAGTTATTGTCCCAGCTCAAGCATGGACGATATAATGATTTATAAAAGATGGATGGGTTTTAAGGTTCAACAGTAACTCACTTCGGTCAACATATAACAAAACCTTTGATTAAATTCATATAGATTCCAGCAGGTTATAAAGAAGAAAGACATAAGTCATAAAGAAACCTGTCCTGTGGGATTGCCTGGATTTATCACCACAAGTGACCTCACAGTTATGCCCTTGGACCGAGCATCTTCCAATTGTTTCTTTAACTCGGATATCTCCAACCCCCATCCACTTGCTTCATCTAGGTAATATGGGACCTGGAACCAAAAAGTTACCCATACGACTATTTATATAGAAACCATGAAGAAAAAAAAAAAAAAAAACAAGGTTTACTGTTGATGTGCCATTGAGAATCCTAAGGATATGGTAAAAAGTAGAATGCAACCAGGAAGAAAACATACAAGAGAACCACCATGAAGAGCAATTGAGGCTGAATAAAGAGGATACTGAGGAATAGGGCAGAGAATGCCATCTTTCTCGGACCTTATTAGTAATTGCATCATCATGTGCACCTATAGAGAAAAACAGAGGGAAACAAAGCAGATATTAACTAGCTATTTCCTCCTTTGCATTCATAAAATAAATGATACAGAATGGAAGTGAACGGAAGCTTGAAAGCATACAGCTGGACTTGCACCATCTGTTAAGAAAATATCATCTGCATTGCAAGGATATCCATCACGAGAAGCAATTCCTGCTGCAATTGCTTCTCGTAAGCCCTTAATGCCCTGAAAATTGTAGGAAAAACATCAAATTCACAAAATTGAAAGTGAAGACTGCATATGGTGCAGCCAACCTGTTTCCTACCTGACTGTGACTATAAGCGCCTGTAGCTCTACCCGGTATTACATCTAAAATATCCCATGCTCTTGCTATGGCATCAGCACTGAAACAAAAGATAAAACATGATATCTTTCACTATGTAATATACCATGCAAAACAAACAAGTGCATATACGATCATTCACTAACATGCATTGTGTTTAAAACATTTACTACGCTTTCTAAGAGTCGTATATAAAAATAACCAAAAAGCAGGAAATATGTTGGCTGATAAAAGAGGCACACAAAAATAGCAGTTTTAAGCTACAAAGCTCTGAACTGTTCCCACTTTTAGATCAAAGAAAAAAGAATAAGGCTTAGTTTGGGATGGCTTTCTTACTGCTTCTTAAAGCAACTTTCTAGTTTATTTTTATACTAAAAAGATGCTTTAAGAAGCAATAAGAAAGCCGTCCTAAATGAAGCCTAAGTCAACCATATTGAAGAGTACTTACACTCTAATACTTCTTAAACCTTAAAATGTTGCTTGTTTAGGAAATTGCAAATGTAAATAATTTACAATGTGTTACAATATCATACTTTCTTGAGCCATACCTAAACAAGCCATGAGTTTCATCCCTGTCCAAAATGGAAGGATGGTCGCATAATGCCAGAACCTATAACAGAAAGTACATTAAGGAACAGTTGAGTTATCAAACAACATGGTGGTCATGATTTATAGAACATTCAAAACAGACCTCTCTAAAAAAGGTAACTGGCTGCTGACCAAGGGACTGGGGATTCCCAATATTGCAATATAGTATCTGGTAGAATTTAAGGAAAATTGTTTAAGCAAAAGAATGGCTACTGGTTAACAATGGAGAACTACAAAATATACACACCTCATCAAAAGGATGGTGACCTGGTTTTGCTTTTAAATCTTCTTGCAAGAGCTGCACAGCAAAGCAGCCTATTAATCTTGTACAAAATGATATTTGATAGCATAAAATTTGATAACAAACAACTCAATCAACAAGTTAACTTTACTATTGATGAGGACATCGAAGATCAATGGCTACGATCGTGTTTACTTATCTTGATGTATTTTATTTTTTATTTGTACTTTTCCCTTTCTACCCTCACTTGAGGGTTTTGTCTTATGTGGCCCTAGGGGCAATTATATCTTTTATTTTTCCTTCATGTAATTGGCTATTTAAGCCTTCCCCTTCCTCTTGGAAAGGATGATGATTATTGATAATGAAAAGTTTCATGTTTTGTTGATCTCTTAGTGAGTTCACGTGATCTCTTAGTGAGTTCATGAGAGGAGAAGCCCGAGGAGGGTAATTCGCAATACCCGCCAATCTTTGGAAGAGTCCGAGGTTCGCGGTTCTTACGATCTCTTTGTGAGTTCGTTAGTTATCTCTATCTTTCTCGTATTTTCTTGTTCTTCTCTTTTCTCCCTTTTCATCCACAAAGTATTCCCCTAGCTCCATTGCCGCCGCCCCTTGGAGTCCACCCGCCGGCCACCCTCACGGCTCCGGCCGGCCACTTTGTCGGCAACCTCCCCAACCGTCCACTCCTCCCTCCCGCATGCTCCAAATTTGAAATTTGAATTTCGAATTTCGAATTCTTTCCTAATTTGGAAATCCAATTTAGGAAAGTTTTATTTGATAAATTCCAATTTCAAATTAAATTAAATTGGAGTTCTCATAACTTACCTCCACGTCATCACCCACCTTGTTCTTCAAATTTCGAAAATTCAAATTTGAATGAGCTCCAAAATTTTCCATAATTGCCAAAGTCCAAATAAGGAAAGAATTGGATTGAATCCAATTCAAATTTCATGGCATGAGGAGTTACTAATTCTCATCCTAGGTGGCATCCTCCTAATCGGAAATTGATTTATTCACACTAATCTCCCTCCTCTCCTCTCTACATGCCGCCGGCCTCATCAAGGGGGAAATCCATTTAATGCTAGTTTAATGCCATCAATGCCTTGATCCAAAATTCAAATTTCAAAATAACCCCCTTAATTTCATTCATAATCTGAAATTAATTTCAGATTATGAAATGAAACTCCCATTCCCCTCTCTTGAAACCGCCGGCCTCCCCCAATTGAGCTCCCCATTAATTCCCCACTTAAGGCCTTAACTCCATTTGATTTGAATTTCAAATTCAAATCAATTCCCTCCTAAATGAATCAAAATCTGAAATTAATTTCAGATTTTGATTAATTCATTCATTCAACCTCACTTAAACCTGAACAAAATTTTCTGCCTTCACCCAGCAGCTGGCCCACCATCCAGAGTTTCCTGTTTTGCTGTCCAGGAATATCCCGCCAGCCACCTGCTCCTTCAGAACTGAGAAATCAGCAATTTCATCCTGCTGATCTGCTGATTGAATAGTCCCCATCGCAGCCCAGAGGTTTCCAGCAAGTTTCCTTTGCTGTCCAACAATTTGGGAGCTCCCATTTGATGTCCAGGAGTGCCCAAATCAACAAGAAAACTGTCCAAGAATACCTCATTGCTGCTGTCCAGTTGCTGTCCAGAATTTGGAAGCCTAGAAAACTGCTATCTAGCATCCTTGAGAACCAAAATTGCTGTCCGGAATCTGCTCCAGGCCACCTACTTCCGGTCCAACCAACAAAGCACCACCGGAACGTTGTATAACCTCATTCCTTGGGTGAAACTCTTATCCTAACGCTCTTATCTTTCTAGTTTACTTTTCGTTTATGGTTATTAATGGACTCATGAAGATCATGTCAATTATTCGCCGCTAGAACCTAGTAATAGGAAGAATTGTGTGAGGGATCTTTCATAGACTAATCTTATTGTTAGTAGGGGAATTTATTGTTGGAACGATCCATGTATGCAATGTCGGATTAGAAACTATCTTTTGAACTTAACTTTTATTCATGTGATTTAACCTAAGCTACGTGCCATTTAATATTTATCTTATCGTTCAATTCCGCATAAGATCTTGCTTATTATCACCTCTAAATCTAAGCGTGCAAAATTTTCTTTAACCAAATCATTTTCGCATGAGATAGTTTCACATCAACTATCTTCTAGAAAGAAGCTGCAAGTCTACCATAAACTTAGCAACAGAAGGTGAACTCCACCCTGTCTATAATCATACCACACTCCACGATCATTAAATAAACAATAAGACCAGCATAAGACCAGCCAACTAAAGAACTATATATTAAAAACAAACACAAATATGTCATGTGCAGACACAAGCATGCATATGCTTACTTCCAGCTCTTAAGTTAAGATATCATTTTGGAAAGCAAGTTTGCCGCATCAAAGCAATCATTAATTATAGAATTTTATGAAGTGATCAGCAAATGATTTTAAAAACCATCAAACAGTTGTCTACTCAGATTGTGACCAGTGTTCCCAAATGCAAAGAACAAGCTAATTTGATAATAGACATGAAAGAAACTTACAGATTGACATACTGCATGCTCACACACACACACACATATACTCAGATTTCTTTCTAATGGTTCTCCCTCTACAGATTTTCAAATCAAGCAAATTTGTGCTTGATTTGCATGTGAGGGTGTCTACTTTATGTGCAAAATGACTAGGGAGAATGATGTGAAATGGCTATGGAGTGATGTGACCGATCAAACAAGTGCTAGGGAGTGTAGTGGATGGCCATTGCAGAAAGGATAAAATGAAGGGATATATCTCTTCACTTGGTTTTTAGTTGTATAAAATGTTTTAAGATTGAAATGAAGATATTTACTTATATGCTTTGGAGAGAAATTCCAAGTTGCTTGGAGACTATTGGCCGGCCATACTTAAGGAGATTGGGTGATCTCCTTGAACTCCTACTGGAACAACCCAAGTTCTAAACCATCAAGATATTGCCTGCTTTGGCCTAACAACCTCACGGCTTTATTCCCTTGGTGTAATTTCCGAGGAAGTCACCCATCCTAGAACTACTCTTATATGAGCACGCTTAACTTTGGAGTTTTTACTAAAATTTTAATTGTTACACCAAAAGGCGACTCGATGTTTAGAATCAACTTTATTTTCTTAAATGGTTTCACAATCTCTCCTTCTCTTAGATAATTGATGTCATCGTCAATTTCCTTAGCCCAGAATCACCAACAGGCAGATGCAAGCACTTAGTTCCCATCTTACAGCTAAATATTACTCTAATATCATTTGTAACTACTCAAATTCTTAACCATTGAGATATTGTCCGTTTTGGCATAACAATGTCAATGTTTTGTCCCTTTGGTATAATTTCTTAGGGGGTTACCCATCTTAAGACTACTCTTGTACGAACGTGTTTAACTTAGGAGTTTCTACTGAAATTCTAATCATTATACCAAAAGGTGTCTCGATGCTTAAAAGTTCAACTTTATTTTCTAAGGGATTTCACACCTACTTTGATGAGTATTTTTTTTAATTTCATGCACATTACTTTACTATACTTTTTTTTCTGTGTTCTTCTCTTAGAATTCCATTTTAGAAAAATCTCAAATCTCATTTCATACTTCTTAATCCAAGTAAAATTACACCTAATTGGAGTTGGCTAGGTTTTTTGGAATTGTTGGACCAGTTCCACTATTGAAAGTGTTTGGCCAGCCTAAACTACTCAAAATCCCACCAAAATCTCTAGATCATCAATATACATCTTATACTTCAATAACCATTGGAAATACCTCTTAATCTTTTTTTTCCCTCCTTTGATCCAACTTATGCTTGCTCAGAGAAGTTCCCTCTTGTTACTCTCATGTTGAAAATCACTAGATACCCTTCACTCGGTGACGCTTCTTCTTCAGCTTTATCGGATGAGTCTATTTTATATGTTGGCTTTTGCTTCTTCCTAAATGTGGATTTACAACTGTGATGAATAACTGAAAACCTAACAAACATCTAGTAGCTAGCTCTAGATTTAAGATGACAATATCAAAAGTTAAGAAGTCGAAGGCCTTAGACAAAAAAAAAGTATTAATAAAAAGCTACCATATTACTAGTGGCATAGACCTAACTAGAGTATCTGTTGATGTGCTATAAGATTGCTTTATTGTAGGGGTGTCAATTTTGGGTCACAGGTCGGGTTTGGGTCGAACCCGAAACTGACCCGGAACTATTCGGGTCAACCCGAACCCGATCCGTTTTTGAAAACGGGTCAGTTTTCCTGACCCGAACCCAACCCGCTTCGAGTCCGGGTCAACCCGACACGACCCAAATGACCCGTTTCCAACAAAAAATTGCTAGTTTTCGGGTCAAAAACGGGTCTATCTCCTCTTTTTCGTGTCAAAATCGGGTTTTCGGGTCAAAATCGGGTCAAAGGGTTAACCCGACCCGATTTTTGAAACGGGTAGAAATGTTGAACCCGAACCCGACCCGTTTCGGGTTGACCCGAACCTGACCCGTTTCGGGTTCGGGTTAACCCGAACCCAAAATTTTCGGGTCGGGTTCGAGTCGGGCTTCTGGGTCGTGTCAAATATTAACACCCCTACTTTATTTCTTTTTAATCTTCTATTAGGCTATTATTTTGGCCATCTTGATGTGCTAATTTTCTTTTTGTAATTAATCTTGAGGCTGTGATGTCGTTTACTAGTTTTACATCTTTAATAAACGAGATCCAAGTTTAACTCACTTCACTCCTAGAGCTAACTTAAAAACATAAAATATCAAGACTAAAAAAAGTTCGGTTGTTTCACTAATATCGATTTATGAATTGAAACCATAGAGTGAATTCTAAAGGTGGTGCAGATCACTATAGAAGCAAATTCTTTGATAATAATAATAATAAAAAAAAGAAACATCAAGGATAATCAGATTGCAACCTTCAACACTGCCCATAATTCAAAAAGAGCGAGACAAAAAGGATGCATGAAAACTAGAGGCACATTAAATGTAGGAATAACATCAAATACAAAATAAACAAGAAAAAATTAATGATATATGAAAAAAAAATGTGAACACATTAAATGTTAGATAATAACATTTGAGTTGGGTTTTCAGTTCTAAACATAAATTTAGTGTCCTACCTTCTAGTGCTAGATTACATCTGATAAGTAAATGAGGTGCACTTATTACAAAGTTGATATAAACGTAGAAGGTTTAGATAGCTACATGCAGCTTAAACTTTTAAAAATTCCATATAGGTTTGTGATAAGCTATCCAAGCCTCTTTAAGTATTTCCTCAAACTAGAGAGAAATTTGGGGGGGGGGGATTTATTTTGACCCTTGGACTTCTAGTGTTCTCGGATGGGCCTAGATTGCTTGATATTGAGCTCAAAATGTTGGAATTCTACTTAGTGCTAGCTCATTAATGTTGACCTGAAGTTTTAGTTCATTTAATGGATGGATATATGAATGATTTTTGGAAAGAAACCTGAGGCTTTTCTTGGATAGCTTACGAGCTATGCCACTTCTTCCTCTCCTTGTCTAGGAAAGCTTGCGATCTTCTCCTCTTTCTTCTCGGGCTTCTAGGGCTTCTACCCTCTTTCGTCTCTCCGCAAGTACCCTTCCACATGTATCCTTCTTCTCAAGGCAAGCAAGTTTAAGAAAATCGTTATGTCTTTAATTTGTGATTGTATCAAGTTTATAAGAGTCATAAGTTGTAAGGTGTTTATGTCAGAGTTTATGATGTGATTTTTGGAAGTCACAACCTGCGGGTTTGCTTGAAAAAGCTTGCGAGCTTTGTCCAACTTATCTTCTCTTCTTCTAGGAAAGCTTGCAAGCTTGTCCTCTCCTTCGTCTCGGCTTCTTAACTCTTTCTTCTCTCCGCAAGTTTACACCCCACCTGTATCCTTCTTCTCAAGGAAAACAACTTTAGAAGTTTATGTTTATGATTGTGTAAGCGTCGTTTGTAAAAGTCAAAGTTTATAAGTCTTTCATTTTATTATATAAAGTTAGGGTTTATCGTATTGGTGTTCTTTTGGGTATTTTGTGAGTTTCTTTTATATAAGAAGTCTTTGTTTGTTTTTTGTGATAAAAAATTTGGGTCTCTCTCCCAAATTTTTGATTATATCAATTTGGTATCAGAGCAAGTTAGGAAGTCCTAGGTTTATGAGTCAGTTTGTCGTGTGTGTCTTGATGTCATGAAAGTTTTGTTTGTAAGGTCAAGTAAATCTTGGTGAGTCATAGCAATTGTTTTGTGAGTCTTGTGAGTCTAGACTTCTTTAGGTTGAGTCATTCTTTCTTTGAGTCTTGTTTTGTTGAGTCCTTTTAAAAAAAAATGGAAAAAGAGAAAAAGATGGATTCAATCAAAGAAGTAAGCAAGCTTGAAGATCCTGAAGTCCCTCTTCCGATGGACAGATGGATTCCAACAAAAGGTGATTCAACAGATCCACTACAAGACAGATTATATAAACTTCAATATCACATGTTCTTATGTGATGAGAAATACAAGAAAAGGAAGAAGTATCTTCAAAGACAATTCGAGCAAGAGCACGAAGAAATTTTGAAAAAATTTGAAGCAAAAATTCAAGAACTGGATGCACCGTCTTCGCCTCCTCAGAAGAAAGCTAAAGGCGACTTATCGGGAGATGAGTTTTTCAAGTAAGGGAGTCTGATGTAGGCAAGGGGGGGTCAAAACAAGATGAGGATTTGTTTTGACCCTTGGACTTCTAGTATTCTCGGATGGGCCTAGATTGCTTGATATTGAGCTCAAAATGTTGGAATTCTACTTAGTGCTAGCTCATTAATGTTGAGCTGAAGTTTTAGTTCATTTAATGGATGGATATATGAATGATTTTTGGAAAGAAACCTGAGAGTTTTCTTGGATAGCTTGCGAGCTATGCCACTTCTTCCTCTCCTTGTCTAGGAAAGCTTGCGAGCTTCTCCTCTTTCTTCTCGGGCTTCTAACCTCTTTCGTCTCTCCGCAAGTACCCTTCCACATGTATCCTTCTTCTGAAGGCAAGCAAGTTTAGGAAAGTCGTTGTGTCTTTAATTTGTGATTGTATCAAGTTTGTAAGAGTCATAAGTTGTAAGGTGTTTATGTCAGAGTTAATGATGTAATTTTTGGAAGCCATAACCTGCGGATTTGCTTGGAAAAGCTTGCGAGCTTTGTCCAACTTCTCTTCTTCTCTTCTTCTAGGAAAGCTTACGAGCTTGTCCTCTCCTTCGTCTCAGCTTCTTACCTCTTTCTTCTCTCTGCAAGTTTACACTCCACCTGTATCCTTCTTCTCAAGGAAAGCAACTTTAGAAGTTTATGTTTATGATTGTGTAAGCGTCGTTTGTAAGAGTCAATGTTTGTAAGTCTTTCATTTTATTATATAAAGTTGGGGTTTATCGTATTGGTGTTCTTTTGGGTATTTTGTGAGTTTCTTTTATATAGGAAGTCTTTGTTTGTTTTTTGTGATAAAAAATTTGGGTCCCTCTCCCAAATTTTTTATTACATCAAAAAGTCAATATTTCATACATGGCAATTAGATTAAAATACTTTAACCAGTCATTACAATCATATTAACTACCATACTCAGGTCTTATAAGAGAAAAACCATTTTCATAGTCAACGAACAATAAAACAAAAAAAATATTATGATTATGCGATCTATAACACAATTTATAGTTAAAATTCAATTTTTTTATACCCAAAAAAGAGGGAAAAGACGGGCATGTAAAAGCAAATGAGAATACCTGAGCATGATTAACAATCTCTCCACGAACAGCATATTCACATTTTAACACCTATATAAATTGGGAATTTGAGTATGGAAACCATAAAATACAGGAAAGACAAAAAGGAAGAACATAATTTCAGTGATACATAATAAACATATAATGTAAGGATTAAACCAACACTCAAAAAACTTATAGGCTTTACACATAATATATTACCAAATGATGCAGCTTCAAAAAAGTATCTTAGGAAAAATTCAAGTTTCTGAAACAAAAAAACACGAAAAAGGCCATTCTGAACAAGTCGAGCTCCTTGCTAATAATAACACATGCTAAGCATCAACGAAAAGTATATAATTAACATTTTATTAAAATGACAGAAATAAATCAAGACATCAATCCGCCTCTTTTCCTCCATCATGCACGTACTGTCAATAAATGCTATGGAGAATCAAAGTTTAGAGATGGGAAATCACCAGAATTTGCAGAATAACAAATTAAGCAATAATAGAAATATCCAAAATAAAGAATTAACATGCCCAAGATTTAAATTGATGTACTTCATTATCATTTTTTCACCCTATTTACGAATCTTTTTGAGTTCATAAAACAAATGCCATGCTGCTCCTTGTAGTTGGCTCCTGCAAGTTATTTCTATTATATTTTTGTTTAATTAATTTTTCTAAGAATTTGAGTTCATCACATCAAAAAAAGATGTTGCAAAAAGTTACAGCGTTATCAACTAAGTAAGAGAAACTTTCATATTATTCATAATTATAAGATGATTTAATTATTTCAAACTCAAAGAGACAACAATCAATAACTACAAGATGATTTATGAGTTAAGCAATAAATATTGCAAAGGGCTTGCTTTTGGTTTGAAGGAATTGAAGAGAGGGAATGAAAATTAAATGAAAAATAGAAATGAATAAGGCTGTTTGGTATACTATTTTAGGCAGGATTTAAGCAAGATTTAGCATAAATCCTGCCAAGTAGGATTTTGGGGACTTGAAATCCTAATCTTTTGATAAATCCCATTTTGATCCCATTATTGATTAAATCTAGGAATTTTGCAAACCCATCATTCATAAGATTTAATGGATTTTTCACTGTCACAAACAATTATCAGATTTTAATCATCTCACAATTTACTAAATTTAGATATACAGAATTCACTAAATCCTACTTGTAATTAAACAGCCCCTTGAAAGAGTTGAATTTAAATTAGTTTTCATCCATTTGTTGGCTAAGGAGAAATTGTGCTGCAAATAATTTAGTTTTTTATTATTTATATAATAGAATAGATGCTAACGAGGACGAATGATATATGTATAAGTTAGTCAAGCAGAGAGATAAAATAAGTAAAGATTTAGTTCAAGTGAACTGCATAAATGATGAAGATCAAAAGTATTTTTATTAGAAGTAAATATTAACAAAGATGAATAAGTTATTTTGATAAGCTTTTCGATGAAGACTGTGATAATACAATTGACATTAGTAAGTAACAACCCTAGCACCTTAAATGAAAATAAAAAATTTTGTTTTATCGACATATTAATATAACTAAAGTTAGAGAGGCTTTAAAAAAATGAAGTGTAGAACAACTGTTGGACATAATAATATTCTAATAGAGGCATACAAATGCTTAAGAGATGAAATAATTTCTTGGTTTACAAATTTTTTTAATATTATTTTGAAAACTAAAAAGATTTCATATGAGTGGAGAACGAGTGCATTGATTTCTATTTATTAAGAATAAAGGTGATGCACAAGAGTGTGCTAATTATAGAGGAATTAATTTAATGTGTCATATTTTAAAATTATAGAAGAGAGTTATTAAGCATAGGTTATGACGTGACACTATTATTTCTCAAAATTAATTCGGATTCATGCCGGGTAAGTCTGCTATAAAAGCTATACATTTATTAAGAGGTTTGATGGTGAAGTATAGAGAGAATAAGAAGGATATGCATATGATATTAATTTATTTTGAGAAAACTTTGATAAAGTTCCAAAAGAAATGCTCTGGAGAGTTCTAAGAAAGAAAGGGATTAATAATGTTTATCTTCAAGTCATTAAGCATACGGATGTAGGAGTTGTTACTTGTGTTCAAACACAAGGTGGTTTGATCAAGTATTTTCCTATTTCAATTAGATTACATCAAGGATTAGCTTTAAGCCCATATCTTTTTGCTTTAGTTATGGATATTTTTACTAGACATTTGCAAGAAGATATAACCTAGTGCATTCTTTTTGCTGATGATATTCTTCTTATTGATAAGATTAGAAAGTGAGATGAAGAAAAACTTGCATTGTGAAGGTCAACTTTAGAGTCTAAAGGCTTTCTTTTGAGTGGATCTAAAACCGAATATATGGAGTGTAATTTTAGTAGTAATAGATCTAATGAGGAGATTGTGACTTTGTGCGATAAAATCATTAATCACAGTACACATTTTGGATTTATTGTGTCCATTGTTCAAATTGATGGTGAAATAGATGAGGATATCATTAGTAAAATTCGAGTTGGATGGTTGAAGTGAAGGAATGCATCAGATCTATTGTGTGATAAAAAAGCACTCCTCAAACTTAAAGAAAAATTATATAAGATGGTGGTGAGACCTATAATGCTTTATGGCGCAGAATGTTGGTCGTTAAAAGAGAAGAATAAAATTAAGTGTTGCAGAGATAAGAATGCTCAAGTGGATAAGTGACTTCACTCTTAGAGATAGATGTAAAATGAGCATATATGTGAAAATTTTGGAGTAGCTCTAGTGATAGATAAAATTAGAGAGAGTCTCCTTAGATGGTTTGGTCACATAAAACGTCAGCTTTTCGATGGAAAATTTATTGCGTGCGGAGTTCGGACGCCATCCAAACTCTAATCATGTGAAGACACGTGTATTTTTTTTCTTCTCTCTTGCACACGTAGTGTGTAGAAGAGAGAAAAAATAATGTCTTTGCGTGATTTGAGTTCAGACAAATAGCTATGTATGAACTCCACACATAATAATCTCTCCTTCCGATGACCCGGTTAGGAGAGTAGATGTACTAAATTTGGCCTGTGTTAAAAAAGTAGAGGTAGGCCTATAAAGATTTGGTTAGAAAATATTAGAAAAGACACTTTTTTTATTAGATTTAAATGAGAAATTGATTCTTAATAGGACGCAATGGACAAGATTCATGTTGTTGACTCCACTTAGTGGGATAAAGGCTTGATGTGTTGTATCTGGCTAACGAAGATTTGAGTTTTTGTAAATTAGAGGAGACATGTGGGTGTTACAATGATCCGACAAGTCTCTAATAGAGGTATTGTATTCGATGACTAGATATACATGACTACATGAGATGTATAAACCAGGAAAGATACTGCATGTCCAGAAATGTTAGGTAGATCCGACTAAAATCTCAAATTGACCAATGAAATGGTTAGTAATACGAGAAAGAGCTTCCACCACGCAAGAAAAATCCAGAAATACACGCCACTCCGAGAAAGAAGGACCCGTATCACGAACAAGAAGCAAAAAACAATCTTGAAATCAAAATATCATTCAATGCCAAACAGCAAAGAAGCAGACGAAACCAGCACAAAAATAATCAGAAAATCCAACTGAAAAAAACAAAACCAAATCAGGAAAAAAAACCACCTTTGGGTTGATGGAATCGAGGGAGACGACCGGAGTCGAGGCAGTGGACATGGCGGCGGCAGAGTAGGAGGAGAGGAATGAAAACGGTGACGAGACGGCAGCGGAAGATTGAGGCGCAAGAAATGAGCGAATAAGTAGCCTTTTAGCCCTTTCCGCAGCGACTCGCCGCATTGCTATGAGGTCCACAAAGTCGTGGGAGTATTTATTCTTTAATCTTCCGTGTCAAATTTGAAGCCAACGATAGGTTGAGAACCAGAAGAAATTTTTTGAGCGAAGAGGGACGGGAAACTTCCTTATTTCCGTTTAGAATACCTCTTGTTTTTGCCGAAGTCGCCCCCGACCAAAATTTTTAAATAAAAGACAGCTTAAATATATTTAAAAACGGTCCATCCCGTGGAAACTTTTATTACTTCCGGTGTAAGACGTAGAGGAACGTTCGGTCAGAGGTAATTTCTGGTCAAAAAAATTAGGTATTTGCTCGGTACAACTAGGTATTATTTGATAATAATGAGGAATACCGTTCTCTGAAGACCAATACTGAATTATACAGAGCTTTACCGAGAAATACCGAGTTGTACCGAGTTTTTCTGGGAAAAACTCGGTACAACTTTAGTATAACTCGGTATTTGATCGATAAAGCCCGGTATAACTCGGTATTTGATCTTCAAATGATGGTATTCTTCGTTATTGTTTGGTATTGCTCGGTATTTACTCGGTACAACTCGTTTTTTGGCGGGAATTTGCCTCCGACCGAACGTTCCTCTACGTTTGGTCGGAGGACGTAATAATTGTTCTCCCGTGGGGGCTGAGTCGGCCGACTGTGCATTTTTGTAATTTTACTGTAAATTAATTATTTAATTAATAAATACAAAAATTTGTTTTTTATAGTAATTTAAGAATAATTAAGATTAAATTAAAGTTAGAAGCTTGTTCTTTTATAAAAGCATATTTAAAATATTTTTATGAAGGCCATATATCATTGATAATTGTATCATAATTAGTATTAGAGTTAAATTTTAAGCTGTTATTTTGTTTAAATTTATTATTTATTTGAAGTTATTTTTAGTGTAAACTTAATTAATTTTTTATATTTTTTCCCTAAAGCTATTTTTGATTTTATAAACTAAGCTAATCTTTAACTTTTAAAGATTGCTATTATAAAACTAATTTTAAAGAATGATTCAAACATTTTCACTCCAACATTGTTTGTTTAATCAAAGTGATCTAATTGTTTGCCCTAATTGTTTCTAATTAACTCTAGATTAATCAGTGATTTGTCTCTAGCCAAGGTTAATTTTAAGTCAAACCCAAGAGCTTGACATGACATATCATGGAACTCTTTGACCTTGAAATGGCTTGATCCACCCTAAAGTGGATTGCACCTATTCTTATGACCTATTGAAATATATAATAGCATTAGACATAGAAGTTGGAAAAGTTCGAGGTAAGTTCACTCTCACTCGCCCAATTTAATGTAGTTTAAGCTCTATACATTTATGTTTTTTGGTTGATAGATCTCCTCTTTACTTGGATAACCTTCTTCAAAACAATATCTTAATAGCTATGGTATTTCGTCATTGGGATCATATGCTTTAATTTAGGCTTCGTTTGGAATAGATTTATTATTGTTTTTTAAAGCTGCTTTTAGTAGCACAACAATTTTTTGAATTAAAAATTCTTATACTAAAAAAACTATTTTAAAATTTAAAAAAAAAAATGTCCCAAACAAAACTTTGACCCTAAAGAAAATCCTTTCTTGTTGTTGCAATCCTATGTTTCTCCTATAGCCTTGGATAACTCCACTCGGTGAATGATTTTGTAGTTGAAGTGGAGCAATGGATTTCCCTGCATCTAATTAGGGGTGTCAAAATGGATACGCGGGTTAGGTTCGAGTAGAACCCAAATTGACACAGGATTAAATGGGTTGACTCTAGCTTGCAAACATATATACTGCTGGAAATAACATAATTTTTTTTTTCTTTTGAAAGAACAAATACTCATTTGATTTTTTTTTTTAATCAGAATATATTATAATGTATCTGATTGATTCAATATTTGAAGAAAAAAAAAAACATAGATTTTGATCTATTTCATCTAAATTACAGCAAAAATATACGGCTGCTTCTTCGTGATTGTAGGATCAAAAGCACAAGTAACTTATTTTCTAGTCCTGAAACTCTTGCATGAATGATTCATGGAATGCCTTGAACCTGGAGATGATACCAGGTATCTTATCCTCCTGAGGAAGAATTGAACACCTTACGTGCCATGTTCCAGGAACCTGCAACCATCGCAACGGGAAAAAAACCCAGATGGATAAGAAATAGAAATTGCGGTTCTGGAGCTAATACAATCAATACAAGAAAGCTCACCTGTCCAAAGCCAGAACCAGGAACGACCACGATTCCGGTGGCATCAAGAAGGCGGTGAGCATAGAATGCATCAGGTAATGAGTTAGCAGCCTTGGCAGCCTCAATTGCCTTCTTTGGCAAGTGAATACGGCAGGTAATGAGTTAGCAGCCTTGGCAGCCTCAATTGCCTTCTTTGGCAAGTGAATACGGGGGAAGAGATACATGGCACCTTCAGCCTTGTTGCATGTCACACCTTCTATGCTATTGAAGGCGTCTTCTAATGCCTGCATTGAATATAAGAGAAGAGTTCTTCATCAAACTAATTTTTGTATAGGAAAAATTTTCTTATGCAATATATATATATATATATATATATATATATATATATAAATTGCTTGGGCGGCAATCCCTAGGGGGCGGATCTGCTTGTTCCGCCTCTTATAAACATGGGCCGGCCCCTTGCCAAGGGCTAGCTGGACCGGTCCAGCACAGTGCGATCTATTTCATGATCAAGTAAAGTTTTGAGCCATTTTGATGGTGATCTAGGTGTCCTGATGCTCTGATTTCGACCCCAAAAACCGTAAAACCACCCCTCTTCGGACAAAAAACAGCCGCAGGATTTCACAAAAAAAAAACAGTCTAAAAAACTGTTCTGATACCAATTTGAGAGGAAACACTTGAAGATCTCAAGTAAAACCTATAAAATTTGGAAAAATAACAAGTATCCACCAAACACCGAGGAAACACCAGAAAAGAGTAATTTTATTGCAATAATCAAGTATTACAGAAGGAAAATACCAAGATACAGTTGATCCTCAATTCGAGAGGAGGATCTATCTCTCCCAATCCCTAGACACTGCTAGAGCCCAAGACAATAAGCACCAGAGACACCAATAGCAGCCACCAATTATCAGATAACCCTAACCATAATTTTTTCTTCCTATTTAAAGCATAAACATAAACAACACTAAATAGTTATAAATATATAATTTAGAAAAAAAATAAACTTAAACAACACAAGCCAAATCTCCCTCCAGCCCTAGCCGCCCCCTCTTTCCTAATTGGATTCCCTAGTGGGGTGCACAATTGCTTGGGCGGCAATCCCTAGGGGGCGGATCTGCTTGGTCCGCCTCTTATAAACATGGGCCGGCCCCTTGCCAAGGGCTGGCTGGACCGGTCCAGCACAGTGCGATCTATTTCATGATCAGGTAAAGTTTTGAGCCATTTTGATGGTGATCTAGGTGCCCTGATGCTCTGATAAGCGACATATACGTTATTCTCCATCTTTAACGCACTCAATTGATCATGGAACATATATAGAGGTCAACACTTGAAAATTCGAAGTTGACTCGGATGACTCAGATCAGCAAGCCCAACACAACCCGTAGGTCCCGCACTGCGATGATGCGTTCCTCCCACTGTCCCACGTGACTGCGTGGTCTACGTCCCATATTCTCTCCCGCAAGGCCGCACAGGTGATGGCGATGCACTACGCCACGCCCGCGACCGGTATCGGCACCATCACACTAGTGGTTCGCGGTCTGCCTCACATGGTCGCACCTGGGGCCTGCCCCCATGCGCTCGAGTGCTCGACTCCAAGGCCAACTCACCGCTCGCGCACTGCCAGACTCGCACAAGTGCCGGTTGCGCGCACTATAGTGCCAGGCTCGCACCCACTTGCAACCTCGCACCCCACTTGCAAGTCGTGATCCTGCCCCTCGTGTGGGACCCCACACTCCTCACGCGACCCTACATCCTATAGCAAGCTGCCAAGCCCTCACTTGCCTAATGTACGCCCTGGTCAGCATGTCAAGTCAGGTTGATCCAGGTTTGGCGCCGGTCGGGTCCAGGTTCAAACTTCTGACACGTTTCTAGAATCAGGTCGGGTTCGAGTCGGGTCATTTTCGGGTTGAATCTGAGCCTGACCCGAAAATCCATTTTAACACCCTTAGCTGATGGCACTGAAAATATACATTGAAGCAAAAAGGTTCTCTCTTTTAAAAAAAATGAGTCTTTAAAAGCACTAAAATTGTTAATGTGCTTCCTATCTAATAGGTGGAAAGAATTTCAACTGATAGCAGTATTTTTTTCTACGAAAGTGATGCTATTAAGGTGGGCGTTTTCTATGTTCCATTATTTCCTATTAATAAAGATGGACGACACAAAGCACATTATAAAGAACATAAATCCTATATAGAATATGATGATACATCATTCAAAATCTATGTGAAACAGACCAAGAACTCAAGGTCGTCACTGAAACAAACAACCTAAAGAGATATAGATTGGATTGCCAAAAGAAAATCATGAAATCAACATCCTCATAGTCTTCCAATTTGACCTTCGTTGGACTAGCATTACTTAGACTTGCAGCCTTTTGGACGAAAGATGAGATTTTAATGTACATATGGTGAATCCACATCTTGGAAGAATGACGAAAAGAATATTTTTTTAATGCTTGTTTCAATAGTATTTCAAGCAGTAGTTAATGTATATTAATTGGTATGCCACAACTTGGTCTATATAATGAGTTTTCTTCAGGTGAGATCAAGACGGAAAACACATGAATGGCAGATAGGTATGGATCTCCTTTATAACTGTGACATAAAAGGCAGTAGACTAGCCCAAGACATATAGCAAAACTCTCTCTTATATTCTCAAACAACAAACTATATTGCCTTTTTCAATTCAAAACTAAACTTTAGCTTTAAAAAAAAAAAAGAAGAGGGGGGGTTCTTCCTTCTATTGCTATTGGGTTACATTGACAAAAAAACATACTATATATTCAATGGATTTAGCGAGCTATTTCAAATAACCAAAATGAAACTTGCTAAAAAAACTGCATCTAAAAAAAGAACCTCCAACACAAACTTCATAATGGGTGTCAATAAAATTCCTAACTACATAACCAACTTTTATCAAACCAGAAGGAATGTGATGTGGAACGAACAAGCAAGGATGATTAAATTAGGGAAGTTTGCACGCTTACATTTTAGAGCACAATAATTATAAGTTTTGTCTTGATGATAGACGACAAAATAGAAATGATAAGGTGATAAAATAGCTTAGGTCTAAAAATACTTTTTCTTCCGATGCTGGAAATGAGTGCCCTTAGTTCTAGAAGATGTCTTTGTCATCAATGTATAGCGAAGCAAGAATAAAGCTACAATAGATTAGTAAAGTGTGGCATGAGCTGTTAAACCTATTTTATGCATTTTTTCATAATTTCTATCCACGTAGTGAGATAAAAGGCTTGTGGGTTGTCGTCTTCGTCTCATTAGTACTTCTTCTATAATTTCTTATACAAGTTGAAATGACCTAATTGTAGATGATACTCCCATCATACCAATAATATAATTATGTCCCAATCTAACCTTCCTAATTTTGCCACACATGAATTTAATTAAATTGTCACTCATCCACAACCAATTTGACAATCAGTTACTTTTTACTTCCATGCATAGAAACATGTAATCCTAGGTTTGCATAGTTAATAGAATCAAAACTATAATAAACTTTAACCTTAGCACGGCGTGCCAAAGACGACAAAATCCCATCCCTCTCTATACTGAATGATTCATATGATTCATCTCCAGGCTGCAAAAGTTAAAGGAGTACGTTCTAATTAAAATACTAGTAAATGAAATCAGCTAAATTAAGTTGAATTTGTCTTGAATAAGATTAAGGAATAATTTTTCTCATCAAAATATAAGTTTGGATGAATAAATTTCAGCAATCACCTTAGGCGGATTCATAATAAGACTAGCTAGAATCTGGCCTGACATGACTGGACAACAGTGATTTACACATGCCAACTTGTAATTATGTTCTCTCACAGCATAACTAAAGCCAATAGCCTCCATGTACCCACCTCTTTGTCCACATTCTCCATAGAACCCTAAGGCAGGAAACCATTTATATGTCATAAATGAGACATTCGAGCTTAATCAATAATTCTTAGATATGGCTTTTATATTTATATAACAACAAATACAGGCAGTACATGAAAATATATTCCATCATCTGGAAGACAAGCATAACAATATACCCTTAGAGGCTGAGTGAAAAGATACTAAGGAAATATCTTTGTCGCAAAATCCCATTGATCTAACAATCTTCTTGAACGAATTGAATTTCTTTTCTTCAACATAAATATTATCTTGGTATACCTATGAAGGAGTGCAGCATCTTCATTGACTTCAGTAATAACCAATTCAATATTAAATATAAGAAAATATCAACAAAAATAAATTCAAAACTAATCCAAGTCATCTGAATCATGTGGAGAAGATAACATTGGATAACCTTTTGTCATTATTTACATGACGGAAGAATAATAGCAAATTAAAAAAAGATATATTAATATGAATACCATTACCTCATCTGCTAGAATAACTAGAGATTCTTTCTTGCAAAACTCTATTATCTGTCTTTGGTTCTCCTCCTCGAGCACCTAAACAATAGGGGGAATGTTATGGCGAAGACACAATTTTTTATTATGGGGGCACATAACAACTTTTTATTGACTGTAATTTTTTATATAAAGATGCATTTATGTATATTCTCCATTTTTTTTTTAAATTATCTCCATTATTAATTTATAAAAATAAAATCATAAGCATAAGACTAATTTAGTAGATTACCTAAGCCGTTTATCTGAAAAGACATATTTCTCTTATTTTTCAAAATCATGAAAAAGTTTGTCTGGCAACATCCAATGTCTTTTGCAGTGGAAAGGAACATAAATGTATCGTTAATTTTTGGAGTTATGGAATTTCACAACCATGACATAATCATGAAGTCTGCTTTATCCCATTCCCCAAAATTAGGATCTCCTTCTTTTGGTCCTCCGAGGAGATGGTGTATTTTTTCTTTCCCTTTTAAGTAGGTCTTCACGAATAAAAACTACTTTAGACAATTCTTCCCATTCATGCAATAGGAAGGTTGCATGCTTTGAAGGTCACCTCGTTCTTGGCGTACCATAGAATCTTCAACTTGATCAAAGCATTGGAATGAATTTGCTTCAGCCATCGTGAGGATACCAATAGACAGAAATAAAGACCATCTTTTATAATGAAGGAAGATTTTATGTTAAAAAAATAGGATTATATTTTAATTATATCAGCAATGAAGGTTGATATTTATGTGAGCAATTAGGGATTTAATCGATTAGGTCGTACGCCCAATTAGCCTTCGTCTCGCGTGCTCGGCCTCTTCTTCCGCACACGAATAAGGAGCTCGGTCCGCACAACAGCTTTTCGATCCGTCTCTTCCGACTTCGTCCCACAAGTTTCTCGTGAATGCCTGGTTCTGATGGTTCCGTCGGCATTGCACGTCAAGCCCTTCTCAGCTTATGTCAGAGTGCCTCCCTTCCGACTTCTGCCTCCGCCCACAGAAGTTTTGCTAGGCTACGGTACTTCCAGGTTTGTCCGATGGTTTCCTCTTCAATTCCTTCGTGGCTCTGATACCATTTAGAAATCAAGAGTTTGAGAGGAAAAAGCTTATTTCATTACACAAATTCTACTCTATTTATAGAAACTATACAAGACACTTTAATATAGAAACAAATAACTACAAAACCAGACATTATTGCCCTCATATATTCCTTCCTAAATCAGCTATCTAACTATGAAAGGATGTTAACATGAATTAGGAGTGATTCAGGTGGGATTCCAACGAATCCTGAGTTGGGGCCGTGGGATCTCTTCTAGAGTGAGTGGCTGAGATTTAACAGATATTTATGCAATGTTTATATTTTATGTTATTTTGCTCTTGTAATATTTGGAATTCTATTTCGCACATTTTATTACTTGTCACTTTACGTCTTATGCAATTTTTTTCTTCATCTGCACATCAATTTGTTACTTCATAGTTCAATAGAAAATTAATATGCCATCCTTTAACATATTGTTTGGTTATTATATAAAAATTTCACTTTTAACATTTATTTTCACATTACAGAATTTTTGGATTTTAAGGCTTACGTCTTGAAATGCTTTGAGTCTTATGCATTATCTCACAAACGAAAAACGTCTCAATACCCAATTGTGCAATTTTAAACCTTGCTTAGGGTATTCGGTGTAGCAATGATGTTTGGGTTCGTTAGTTGTTGGAGGGAGTTGAGGATTGTGGTTGTAATTGGGAGGACAGAAGCAAGAAAGGTGCCATGAGAGAAGTTTGTTGGTTCGCCTTTTGCCAAGATGGGTCGACAAGGTTTGTCGGTGAGTTGGGTAGGCGGAGATGGGTATGGAACAGTGCAAAGTAGGATGGCTACGGTTCGATTTCCAGAGTGGCTTTGCTAGCGATGACTAGAGATGGGAGAGAAGAGAAGATGAGAGAGGATGCAAATCTAAGTGTGAACAAGTAACATGGAAGAGAAGAAAAGTGACAAAGGGAAGGCGAGATCATGTTCAAGTGGAAATAGGTAGAACAGGCGAGTGAGATGAGAGTTTATACTTCTTTTTTTCACCTGCGATGACCATAATACCAGATGGAATAGGATGTCAAGTCGTTAAGGCACAAAGTTTGAGGCTATGGATCAAATTTGATTTTGAAATTGATATGTTGTTTATTTTTTAAAAAATCAAATTTAATCAAATAAAAGATAAATAAAAATAATATGCGATTCTATCTCATAAAATTGTCTCCCTAAATATGTTAATTTCAGGTCGTCACCTTGCACCACAATCTAAGCAATATGAGTGTCCTTTCGACTATTTGAGATATTTTGAATGTAATGAAAACATTATGTTTCGTGAAACGAGCGATGACATGATCCTTTTCATCATGGGCATTGAGTTTTAGACTAATCTTACACGATGTCATGTACGTTTCCCACCACCTTCACCATGTTTAGTCAAGTTGCTTTGTGGAATAGTTATGGAGGTAAAGCTATGCGTCTGTGAAGAGAGGTGATAGAAAAATTTTCCTATATTTTTTGGAAAGATAAAACAATAGGAGAGATATTAAGCTAATTTGAATAGTAAGCAAGCAATAAAAATAAATAGAAAGTATCTAAGGAGTAAGTTGGCACAGTTTAATGTACCACGATAGAAATATTGCAGACACAATTATGACTAGTATTCTATTGGCAACCAAAAAGAGTTATTTATTTGCAACAAATCATAATAGTCTAGTAAGTCCTAATGTCCTTTAAAGGACCATTTGGTTTTGTGAAAAAGGAATACAAAGTAAAAGAAAATATATATATTTGACATATAGTATATTTGAAATATTTTGGAATTATTTGGTTTAGTGTAAAATAAATGAAGGATATTAAGTTGTGTTTAATTTGAAATAAAATGAATGCAATGTACAGCCGGCAGGCGGTGGTCAGTTATGCGTCTAGTGGCCGACGGCAGCTTGTGGTGTATACGAAACTTAGTCAAATTGGTCGGGTTTTAATACATCACAAGTAAACTATGAGGTTGGTTTGTAATTTATTAAAATTTTATTTTGTATTTCTTCTTGTTTCAAATCAAACACCCATCTTTCCGAAAGTCATGCATTTTGAATTATTTAGATCCCCTTTACTTCAAGTCAAAGTCCCTCAAAATAAAAGATAAAAATTGTTACACGTCAAACATGTCTGGCATCTTGATCAGCACAAGATGGATTTCAATTACTACAACAGGAACACTTAGGTCAAAATATGTCTAAACACATTCATATAGCCTGCATTGTGTAGTAAAGGAAAAAAAATCCTATAGGCTATAGGCCTTATTTGAAAACAAACCTGTCCTGTGGGATTGCCTGGATTTATCACCACCAGTGCCTTCACAGTTATACCCTTCGAGTGAGCATCTTCAAATTGTTTCCTTAGCTCAGATGTCTCTAAACCCCAGCCAGTTGTCTCGTCAAGGCAATACGGAACCTGGAACAGAAGACTTTCCATATGATTCCTTCGACAATAACTAGAACCAGATAAATGTTCAATGAAAAGCAGTCATGCAGGTCAGTGAAGCACATTAAATAAAAAATAAATATAAAGGATGTACAGCCTGTAAAACCCGCAAAACGTCGTTTTAGACCTCGCACGCTTTTCAAAGCATCGCGACGAGTTTTAAGTGAAAATTCGAGGTTGTCGGATTTCGATGGAAATAATTTTGAAAAATTCTACGCAAAATTCTAAGAAATTTGATGTATATAACTTATATTTAATTTTGCTTAATTTAGGAATTAAGATTAAGAGAAGTCTCATAATACCCAAAGTACCCTTAATGTTTATTCAAGTATGGGTTACTTAAGTGAGGGCAAATAGGTAATTAAACCTTTCCCTTAACTCCTAAGCCTTAAAGGGACCGATTCTATTCGGTCCCCTCATTCCTTCGTGCGACCGAACCGAAGGGGGAGGAAAGGGCGGACGGGCAAGGCGGAGGGGAACTCTTCGGGTGGCGGCTCCGGCGAGTTTTCCGGCGAAGAAAGCTAGGGAAACTGTAGGGAAGACTAAGGGAAGGCTAAGGTATGTGTTTTGCTAGAGTTTTTCTTCCTTTCCCTTGAGTTTTCCCTAAGTAATGAAAACTAGGGTTTTGAGAAAACTTAAGTTTTCTTTGAGATTCTTTTGAGAAAAGTTTAGGGAAGGTTAGGGGGATGTTTCTAAACCCTAATGTGTATTTTCTTTTATCAAAATATGAATTTTGAAAATTAGGGTTTTACTTAAAATTGATCTTCTTTGGAAATGCCTTCACAAAAGATATTTCTAAGGGTATGGGCGCAGCTGTATATATGTATATATATATATATATAATTTCCAAAACTATTGTCTATCAGTAGCAGTCTCGCATGATATAGAGATTTAGTAATGATATGTCATTGAAAAACCAAAATATATGGTACAAATTACTCGTGTGAATAAGCAGAAAACCTACAAGAAAACCTCCCTGAAGAGCAATTGAGGCTGAATAAAGTGGACACAGAGGAATGGGGCACATAATGCCATCTTTCTCTGAACTTATTAGTAACTGCATCATCATGCGCACCTACAGCCAAAAGGGGAACAATGGAAGTAGATGGATTAAACTTTCCCCATTTGCGTTCAGAAAATCTATGCTGCAGGAGGGAAGAAAAAACAGGCTTAAGAGCGTACGGCTGAACTTGCGCCATCTGTTAAGAAAATATCATCAGCATTGCAAGGATATCCATCACGAGAAGCAATTCCCGCCGCAATTACTTCACGTAAGCCTTTGGTTCCCTGAAAGTTTAAGAAAAAAACAGCATTTTCATGAATTTTAAAGTGGAAACTTGATCGTAAAGCCAAGCTGTCCTCCTACCTGACTGCTGCTATAACCACCTGCAGCTCTAGCAGGGATTACATCTAAAATCTCCGTTGCTCTTGCTATTGCATCCGCACTGAAACAACGTATAAACCTAAATCAGGCGTCTTAAATGTCACAAATTGAGAATCTATTGTCATTATAAATTTGTTTAAGACAATGAAAAAGAACTAACATATACAACTGGTTCAGGAATTGAGACATCCTATTTCTCTGATAGAAACAAGCTCAGATACAAGAAATCTGTGGTGCCACATGTCAAGTTTTGTTCTCATGGCATGTCTTTGTGCTGACCAAATGCAGACTGGAATCACACGCTGGCGTGGTTTCTCAAGTTCACTCTTAAAAGTTCATGCAAACATGTACCTGTTAATGTTTGTGGACACTATTACAAGACACGAAGACCGCACAAGCCACCCTCAACCACAAAAAACCCTTGGGCATAAACACTCATCCACATGCTTTGCAGGAGGACCTTTTTTAACTGTGCTCATACACGTAGTCCAGCAAAATATAATAAGAACCAATTCAGGAGTAAAAATATTAACTAAAGGGCCAGGACATAACCTGAGCTCAATCAAGATATTGTCCGCTTTGATACAATAAAATTCATATTTCTTTTCCTCCTACTGCAACTTTTAATTAAGGTCATCAATCCCAGGAGTGCTCCATCACAAAAGCCTCAAATTTGAAATCTCTAACACCAATAACCTTTATACAAAAAGATATCTAGATTTTTAAGATTTATTTTTTACTATAACTAGCGGATTTTACAATCTCTCCTGCATAAGAAATTAAAGGTCCCGTTAGGGACCATACACATATCTAATAATCACCTACAAGGCACATAGCATTTGAGGGGTAGTCCCTATAGTTTCAAGTGGTAGCTACCTCCATATAAAACTCTGTCCCAAATAGGTTCAAAAGGTGGCCCCCATGACATGGCACCACTTAGTCACCATCTTCAGGCTTGCATATTGCTATAATATCATTTCTCTCAACCCAAACTTTCATCAATTAAAATATTACTTGCGGGACTTTATTGTTTTGTTTTCGTTAGTGCCTAAAAAGCCATGTTGTTTTGTTCTCTTGGTGCCAATTCGTAGGAAAGTTACCCTTATAAGAGCTTTACTTCACTACCCTTAAGAGATCTTTCACAAAATTAAAAAATTGAACTATTAGCGGTTCTACTAAACCAGATGGCTATATTTTATGACCACTTTTAGAGCGGACAAAGCATTTAGTATAATAGTTAATATGTGGACCTGTTTCCCCCTTCTAATAGATATCATGCCTCATGAGTCTCATTTCATAGGAAATCACAATAGTAAAAAACCAACTATGTAGGCTTCAAATCACATCTTCTTGAACGATACCTGAACAAGGCATGAGTTTCGTCCCTGTCCAGGATAGAAGGATGGTCGCATAAAGCAAGAACCTGTAACAGAATGTACTTATTCAGAAGCAGTAAGAATTAATGAAGAGCTTAGAGGCCAAGATTAACAAAAATTTCAAAGCTTACCTCTCTAAAAAACGTAACTGGTGGCTGACCAAGAGACTGGGGATTCCCGATATTGCAATATACTATCTAACAGAATGTAAGAAAAACTGGTTTAAAAAGAAGTTTGCTAAAAATTGCACACATCTTACTGTTTAACAAGGAATAATTAAAATAATTTACAGACCTCATCAAAAGAATAGGAACCTGGCTTTGCTTTTAAATCTTCTTGTAGGAGCTGGAAAAAAATAGCCCAAATAATTAATCTTATCCTATATGATTTTTCAGATTAAATCAAACTTGGAATATCCTAGTAGTCTATCAACAAAATATTTTCACTAACTTATAGAAAGAAGCTGTCAGTCAACCCTAATTGCAAATTGAAGATGATATTCTCCCTGGATGACTGGCTCAAATCATATTTCACACTAGACATTAAATATGAAAAAATAACCAATTTATTCGTGGAATAGGAATACAAATAATAATAAGCACAAATATGCATGTGCACAGATGCACAAACACACATTTATTTGTATCACTTGAGATAGCACAATCATCGTCATATCCAAATTACTTAGGATCAGCTTTTATGAATCAACATTTTGTATTCATTCCTACCAAGTGATACCTTAGACATTAAACTTATTCTTTACAATTATTTTAATATACCCATATTATCTTAGGCCTGCCTCTTCTTCTCATAATTTCCTAACATTAAGTATATCTATTTGTCTAATTGTGCATTTTTTTAGTTTTTGTTGTACACGTCCACATTAATTATGTCTAATTTCAATTATCTTATCTTCAATAAATATTACTCCAATCATTCAGCTAATATAATCATTCCCTAATTTATTATTTCTAGAATGCAGGCTTGGAGCAATGGTTTAAGTTGTTTCTACTGAGTTTTGGAGGTCCTAAGTTAAAATTATGGAGGCAACCTCTCTGTAAATGCTAAGGTAAGGTTGCATAGAAAAACCTCTCCCAAAATCCTACATTAGTAGAAGCTATATGCACTAAGTATGTCTCAATTTATCTTTCATGTTTTGTCACTCACCCTTCTTAATATTTTCATTCATGTTACACTTGACTTTAATATCAAAAATCTTTTTTTTTTAACCCAAGACATAAATCGATACAACATTATAGGCCTACTAATCTATCTAATTTTGCAAAAGTTGCCCTTATGTCTAATTGAAATCCTACTATCAAATAATACTCCTGAGATATTTTTTTTTTATTTTAATCACTCATTCTTAACTCCATAAGTTATATCATCATCTATCTTATTATTTTATATAATAGATCCAAGATACTTAAACCTATAACTCTTAAGTATCATTTATTGCCTAATAATATTAATTCATAATTATTAATATAAAACAAACTAAAATTATATAAACATATACTCAATTTTTATTCCACTAATTTTAAATTCACTATCTTCTAAGGATATTCTTCAATGATCTAATTTTTCATTGACTTTTGTAGATGTTTTTTTTGCAAAAGAGAACTATCATCTGATGCTTCACTTTAAAAATTACTTGCAAAAAACTCCAAAGCTAATACAAAAAGATATGGATACAAAACGAAGTCTTGATGTAATATTGCTTTAATTGAAAAATATTTGGCCACTATACAAGTAATAATACTAGTCAATACATATCTTCAATAACTTCAACATATACTTATAACATACATTTTTATTTAATGCACGCCAAATAATTTCTCAAAATACCAAATAATATACTTTTTGAATATCAATAAATATCACATAAATACTCTTCATCTACTCTTTGTACTTTTTCATTGATTATCTTAACACAAATTTTGATTCCAAACTAAATCATCTTTAGCACAAAATCAATTTAATTCTCTAGAACTGACATAATATTTTTTCTAAATATATTTTACTTTAATATTATCAAATTCATTGTTCTAACAAGACATGTGCAAGAGGTTGTACCCTGGTGTATGCTATTTGCCGATGATATTCTTCTGGTTGATAAGACTAGAGAGGAAGTTGAAGGTAAACTTGAATTATGGAGGTTAACCTTAGAGTCTAAATGTTATCATTTGAGTAGATCTAAAATTGACTATATGAAGTGTAATTTTAATAGTAATAGATCTAGTGGGGGGTTTGTGACTTTGGGAAATCGAGCCATTAATAAGAGTACATGTTTTAGATATCTTAGGTTTATTATTCAGAGTGATGGAGAAATAGATGGGGATCTTATTAGCAGAATTCAAGTTGGATGGTTGAAGTGGAGGAATGCATCATGCTTGTTATGTGATAGAAAAGACCCCCTCAAACTTAAGAGAAAATTTAATAAGGTGGTGGTGAGACCTGCAATGATTTATAGTGCAGAATGTTGGCCATTAAAAGAGAAGCATAATATTAAGTTAAGTGTTGCATAAATGAGGATGCTCAAGCGGATGAGTGGCTTTACTTTTAGAGACAGGATACGAAATGAGCATATACATGAAAAGGTTGGAGTGACTCTAATGGAACATAAGATTAGAGAGAGTCGCCTTAGATAGTTTGGTCACATAAAACGGCAGCCTTCCAATGACCCGGATAGAAAAGTAGATGTATTAGATTTGGCTTATGTTAAGAAAGGTAGAGATAGACCTAAAAAGACTTGGTTAGAAAATATTAGAAACAACCTTTTTTTTAATATTTAAATGAGAATTTGACTCTTAACAGGACACAATGGAGAAAAAGGATTCATGTAGCTGACCCCACATAGTGGGATAAAGTCTTGTTGTTGTTGTTGTATATCAAATTCATCGTACAACTCATAAGTTTAAGTGATATATAATTAGTAAAATATTACAAAATTCTTTTTCTATTAAGTGGTGGTACTAAAATGCTTATTCACCAATCATTTGGCATCTTCAGCCTCAAATTTTCATTAAATTTCTATTAAAAATTTTTGTTAACAAGAACACTATAATATCCCCATAACTCTAGAAATCATAATTGTTAAAACGGAGAATTTGGGAAGGAAAAGCTTGAATTTTTATTAAGCAATCTACTCCCTATTTATAGATCTATACAAGGTGTATCGATAAGGAAACAAATAACTCTTATAATAACATGAATACAATTATTCCTAAATTAATGGGAGGAATTAATGCAATCCATGTAGTCTTCCCACGGATTACTGTTCACAGCCGTGGATATCTTTGGGATCGTAAGGTTGAGATTTAACAATAATAGATATATGATAAAAACTTAAAGTGTAAAACCCGAAAATCATGAAAACGTCGAACAATCACGTCGCGACAAAATTAGGCGAATTGTCAAAGTTGTCGGAATTTGACGCAATCAATTTTATAAAATTCTACGCGAAATTTCAAGCGATTTGGTACAAAGAACTTATACTTAATTTCGCACGAATTTAAAATTAAAAATTGACGAAGATTAGTTAAGGATAAATTACTTAATAGTTCATCTTAATTCTTAAGAGAAATTAGGGAATGAAGGGTACATGCATAATTTGAATACCTCCTAACAATGTTGACAAAATGTGCATGCATAGGAGAAAGAGAGAGATGTTAGGAAGAGGAGTCATCAATGGCAGAAGTTTGTTATAAAGAAATGAAAATAAAATTGGGAGAGGCACATAAGTAAGGTATTTTTTGCCTATGTACGTGGTTTGAGAGGGGCCACCATTTATATCCTGAGAATTTAGATTCTGCAAGAGAAAAACATCCCCTTGATGTATTTCTTTTTTAATAAAAACTTCTTTTTTGTTTATTATTATTATTATTCTTATTATTATTATTATTATTAGTAGTCGTATTATTTT